TACATTATTCATGCGTTTTAAAATAAGTTGGAACTTCCAATTGTAATGGCAATTGCTAAATCGTAATTTAAATGTTTGAAAGACAAACAACTGAATTATGATCTTATCTATGAGATAGCTGAGACATACTGTACACGTAAAATGCTAAGTTTTCATATTTAGCAGTTTATATTTAAGCTAGGTTGTCGTCCATTACATGTATATGTAGGTCGTGATAATCACTAAAAATTCTCATACAGTGTAACTTGAGTTTCGTTTTACAGATCATTTATAATTTACTTCCATGCTATAAATCATTGTTTTATAAGGCGAGTTTAACGGAAGACTTATAAAAAAAAAAAACAACAACCAAAACAAACAAACAAACAAAAACTAATAACTGGTCCACTGATAAGAATATATTAATTTTTTAAAGTTGTGTTCAAATACATGTAAATGATCACTTGAATAGTTTGTGTTCTTTACTGGTTCCTGATCCCCCCCCCCCCCCCCGCCCCACTACATACATGTACATACTGGAGCGGCGTGTTAACAAACAAAATTCTAAATATTTAAAAATAAATAAAAACAAGAAAGAAAACACACAAAGCAAGAATTCAATAACTGTAAACTCGCATGATTAAGTAGATGAAATTAAGATAATACCGCCCGATGTTTTTTATTAATTAATTTATTTATTTATTTATTTTTATTGTTTTATTTCGATGAGCCCCCACCCCTCTCCGTACTCGAATTGTTTTCTATGGGCCGGTTGTAGGGCATCATATGTAGGGGGAGTATATACTCAGGTACATGTATACCGTGACCATAGAGACAGTATACATCCACCTAGCAAGTGTCAATTAAAAAACCCCACCGCAATTGCTCTTAGCACCCGCAAATCTTCGAAACAGTTGGATGATTACCGACACGTGATGACCTTGGCTTCACTTTAAAACTACAATTATTAAAGTGTTAAAATTAAATAATTCTGACAATTACAAGGTTCAAATACAGGTACCTACATGTATGTAATGAAAAAAATATATGTCCGTTTTCGTATTAAGGTATCTTTGCAAGTTCAATTTACTAATGTTGGAATTACGTGTACTTTTCATGCACAAGTACAAAACGTACCCGTCTATTATTTTTTTTTTATATCCATATAAAGTATTTTGAAAATTACATGTAGTACATGTAAGAGGTTCGTGAACATATAAACCTGTATATTTATATATGGACGCGAAGGAAAGTGATAAGCATTTTTGTTTTTGTTTTTGTTTTTGTTTTGTTTTTTTACTGACTTGCAAGTAGTTACAAAAATTCAAAAACATACAACATAAGGTCTACATGTAGGACAATTAGAATTGACAAAATAATCTTTCCCAATATACTTGTATTTAAATCAAGATATTTATTAAATTTTGGTAAAAGATTAATTAAAAAAATATCATAGTAGTTAAAAAAATGAGACCCCCCCCCCCCCAATTTACGTATTGACATATTGCACATTTATACTGTACAATGTACATTTAATTTTTTTTTTCATGATCAATAATTAAGATCGATAATTCCGATTTTGATCTGGATAAATTAAAACGTGCATGCATGTAAATTGAAATAATGCATAAAAAATAATTAAATTAAAGCACGTACATGTTCTTATACTGTATCTTAAGATAATAAAATACTATAAAATATCGAAGACCAGTTTTTTTTTTTCTTTTTTTTTAGTAACAGTTGTTATAACCATTATTATCTTCTTTTTTTCTACTATGAATTAAAGTACAAATTGTCTGATAAATTTACGTAATGTATATTCATATATTAATGGATTTTAAAAACATAGAGAATATAAATATGTAACTATACATGTAACATGCTACCTGGATAATAAAAATATATAATGTATTAATAGATTTTAAAAATAAAAAATAATGAAAATAGATGTGTAAATATTGCATGTTGTCTGGAGAATTAAAATATATAAATGTAAAATCATGTTTAAAAAACATATTAATAATATTTTTACACTGTACATTCACACACTTTGCTTGTACAATGTTTAGGTTACAAACTGGCATGTTGACTGGTCGATGCGCTGATGGTCAACGCATTTTATCACTTATCCTGATTGACAGACCTGTTCGGCATGTTGATTGGTCGACGCGCTGATGAATTAATCGCTAATCCTGATTGACAGCTCTGTTACGCAACACCGAACGCACGTTCGCTTTCTGGGACCGCTACTGAATTTGGGGTTCGCTTTCAGCGTTCGCTCTGGGTTCGCTACGGGTGCGCTCCGGGTTCGCTCGGGTTCAGCACTAGCGGACCCAAAGCGAACCCGAAGCGAACCCAGAGAGCGAACCCGGGGTGCGCTCTGGGTTCGCTTTCTGTTAGGTTGTGTCTGGTCGGTACTATATATATATATATATATATATATATATATATATATATATATATATATATATATATATATATATATATAATATATATATATTCCAAATAGATATCTCTGTTCACATAAAAACATATTGAAAGAGTCAGATTATCAAAACAAATTAAGGACACTTTCTTTTTATTTTCAAATATTTTCTTATCTTTAACCCTACTTGTCAGAAGTGCACCGAAAAAAAGTACTAATGCAGGTGAAAAGCACATGTCTATTCCTCATCATATATTATGCAAATTCTTCCGCTCGCACCCAAAAATCCCATCAACAAAAAAAAAAACTAAATAAGAAAAAGAAGAAAGTCTTTTGTGTTTCTTGCACATTTGCATAAAATAATTAATTTCTACCTTATCCCCGTTACTGGACTTGTCGACCCGGACCCACACTTCCTCTCCTAAATAGAAACATTGCTATCTGAATAAACTTTTTTCCGGATTTTTTTCCTTCGAATGTGCACCAGGCTACCCGTTTGTTTTATCCCGGCAACTTTTTGTACTTTATTATATGTACCTAGTCACCCTTTGTTGTCAAATCCAGGACTGGGAACTCTAATTTAGATAAGGAACAGTCTGTTTTCTCTCCCTCTCTGACCTGACAAGTGTAGATTTACAAGATTACCTACCGTATATGCGAGATTTTAATCGTTTATTATATAAAATAAAAAGATTTAAGGATCCATTTCAAACGCATCCATTTGACAAAATTCGACACAATTTATTTCCTATTATTAGTCTTATCTTTTAAAACTTTTTTTTACTCCCTTCAGATTTTTTTTCTAAAAAAAAAAAAATCACTTTTCAATCCCTATTGGCTTTATTATACTTTTTATAATGAGTCCGTTATTCTACCTTTTAATCACAAGAAGTTCTCAGTTTGAGAGATGCTATTAATCATTATATCAATTTATTCCACAATGACGAACAAGACATATAAAACAATGATAAAGCTTTTTTTGAGTGGTCAATCATCTCTAGTCACATAAAGTTACATATGTTCAATTCAATATAAAAGAAACACTGTAACTAAAACTAGAGACATTACTCTAGACTTAAATTCAAAACCGTGTATATTTATTAGAAATATTACTAAAAACGTGCTCCCCGACGTAGTAAATATATTTATATATAATTGTACTATTCGCCCATCTCCATTCTCATGCATGCTATAAAACCTGTTTTAATTTGTCACCATTGTTTATGCATATCCCTGTATACATTGTAAAATTGTGATGAGATTTGTAAATTCAGTTCAGTTCAGATGAATTTTGGAGTTTCACCAAATTTTTCAATATTATTGTACATAACACTGAAGAATTTAAACCAAAAGATAGTATCTGTTTCATTATGCTTTTTTCTTCATGTATATTCTGTTTTTGGATTATGACAAGGTACATGTAAGTTCAATGATTTTACAAGAGAATTGCTAAAGTACAGAAATTAAACAAGAAGACTATAGAAAGGTTGGTATCAAGTATCGGTGTATATTGTGTGGACTTTAGAAAAGTACAAACAAATTTCATGGTCTATTTCTTTAGACCTGAAGTATGATTCCCTTTATTTAAAGTACTTTAAAATTTAATTCCTTATTCTTTCATGATTATCCGATACAATATCTTTTTTTCCTTTTGAAACAGCCACTTATTTCATTCAGAACAAAAGAAAAATCGTCAGAATTGACTGTCAATTTAAAATAAAAATCAAAAACATGTTCTTCTGAGCATACATGATGAAATTGAATTTTTAAGATAAAAAAGGGTATTCCGAAAGAATTACTGAGTTCTCTGCAGACTGTATTCCGTCAATAATCAATCGAAGCAGTACCCCCCACCCCCCCCCCCCACCCCCCGATTTTTATGTTTACGAACGTTCATTTTGATTAAACAAATGCATTGAAAAATTAAGTAGAGCAAATTCTATCTTTATCTTTATGAATTTTGATTTGTGAACATTTTACTCTCTCTCTCTCTCTCTCTCTCTCTCTCTCTCTCTCTCTCCTAAACATTACTTATTTAAATGAACTTTCCCCGACATTTCCTCTCACGGACATAACCACGTGGTATTTAATGACTATAAAATAATAATTTACCTTCGTCATTCAGGTCAGAATTTAAAATAAGGCTTTATTGATTTCTCACAAACGTAAAAGAGGAAGTGAGCACTGTTGTACGGTTTTCCCTACAAGGTAATCATACCGGCATAAATTTCCAATATGGTCGGGTGTGGATCATGGCCGCCTTGTTTTTTCATGTATAATTGAATGAGAAACATAAAATAATAGCAGACGGTCTTTACCATGGTACACGTGTACCCGGACCAAGGATTAAGTCTTTCCGTAAAAATGCGCAGTCTTTTGTTGATTTGTATAACTGATCTGTTTTAAAAAACCCTATTCAACCTGAACACAGGTACGTGTGTACTAATATCGGGTTATTTAATACCTAGCAGCTATCTAGTAAACCACAGTAAAGCAATATTAACGTATCGAGGCATTGGATGCAGAGGAGAGAGACTAACAATGACAGTGCTGTCTGACAGAGGACTATTACTCTGGACTTACCTACCACTTCAGTGTTAAAACAAAACCTGTACAAGGGTAGGATAAGAATCTCCACACAGACCTCTGGACTTACCTACCACTTCAGTGTTAAAAAACAAAACCTGTACAAGGGTAGGATAAGAATCTCCACACAGACCTCTGGACTAATCTACCACTTCAGTGTTAAAAAACAAAACCTGTACAACAGTATAGGATAAGAATCTCCACACAGACACCTCATCATGATAAGTGATTCCGTAGTCCGGGGATCCAGCCCCGTGAAAGTGACCCCCAGTCAGGATTCCAATAAGGAGGGAATTCAAGACGAAACAGAAGAACTGGAGAGAGCTCGAAGGGAAAAGAAACCATTCTTTTACTGTAGGCTAGTGGCGAAATACCCCGTCAAGTGTTTTGGTAAGTCTAATATATCATTATTACATGCACAATAAAAATAAGAATGTCTTTACTGTTTTTTGCATTGATTTTGTTAAATAATCTTATTAGTACAAATTTACCTTATCCGACGCCTTTTTTGATATAAAATTAACGGTGTGGTTTATTAATTTTCAATCTGAAGTTTAAAATGTTACCTGTTCATATAATTAATTTTAACAGCAGAAGAAATTTTTTTAAAAAGACTACATGTAGTACATGTCTGTGATATTTATAAAATTCCAAAGTCATTTCAAAAAAACGCGACAAATTATGAGGTGGTTGACAATAAAAGTATTATATCACAATGAAGTTTTATGGATTGTTGCATATGAATTATTCAGTACAGTTGTACTAGTGTAGAACACTAGAAGACGACCGTTACGTTTGACTGGAAATGAGGACAAATCCAATGTACACGGACTTATTACTTTAAAGCTAGGTCTCGATCATTCTCTTTGATTTAAAGGAAGAACATTTGGTTTATGTATTGCAGCAAAGTAATGCCAATAACCTGAAATTCTTTTTACTATGACTTACCCGAATTCGTAAAAAAATAAAAGGAAAAGTCTTTTTACGATGTCGATATTGTTACTACAAAACATACACTTATGTTAAGCTTAAAAGTAATTTCCATTGTGAAGAATATTTAACATTACTGAATAACTTAGACTTTAGAGGGCGCATAACCAGATTAAGAATTTCTTCTCCCAGGCTTAAAATTGAAACTAGTACTAGATATATTGGACTAGAAAGTGATAAAAGAATATGTGAAAATGTAATTTGAATGTAGTGGAAAATGAAATGCATTTTATTATATATAGATTGTCCTTTCAACAAAGAAATGAACATGATTAAAAGAATGAGTGCACTTTAGAGTGTCATTTGGAGCCTTTTCGGCCACCCATTTTAAGTATGGCACGCCGATTGCTTCAAAATTATTTTCTGCACAACGATCATGATTTTATACACGAGCTTGATGAAAAATATACACGAGTAAAATAAAAATGCACGTATCGGTAAAAATTGCACATAGTTTGAAAGATTTTTACACAAACATAACGAAAAATACACGAATCTGAAATTTTTTACACGATTAAGGGGTATTAAATGCAAAAACGTAAAATCAAAAACTGCACGAGCAGAGGAAACCAAAAATTACACAAACAATTTTACTGCGCATACAGCTGCGCAAATCATTATTATGCACATAGAATATTCATTGTGTTCTTGGTTTTCTGTACTCTTTATCTCTTCATGATTGCTGAATGTAATCGAGAGAAAATGGCGTTGACGATGATATGCATGTTTGTTTGCTTCTTTATTTCTTTGCTAAAACTCGATCCGATTTCTAGCTGATGCCAATCGAACGAATGAAGTGTTTTCTTGTGAACTGTGTGAAAAAAATTTAAAAGTTGTTCGGAGATATTATATTTTTCTTATATTGATCGAGATCCTAGCCAAAATATGGAGGTATTATATGATGCCGGACATAAATTGTGGCAAGAAAGGAATCGCATGTTTGTGTGTTATAATGCGGGGGAAAAAGTACCATTGCATATGATGCACTCGACTCCGAACTAAAAGCAATACACAGCAAACTCTAAATTCCTAACCATAAACAGATCTTGCTTTAAAAAAATGATAGAAATATATAGTTTTTTTTTTAAATATACGCTCTGTGGCCTTTTAAAATTCTCTGATAGATACAACTTTAACGGAAAGTACTTGTATAAAATATAACTAACATATGTATAATAAAACGATTAATGAAGTGGATTCTTCATGAAAATGATGGCATAATAATTTCTGATTATAATTCATTTTGGTACTTCTCAGTTGTACTAATTATGAATTCATTTGGGCAGATTTTTTCTTCATTTAGGAATAGGAAATTATTCAGTTGGCTGGATTTATTTTCTATTTTCAAAAAGATTGAAAAGTGGGGATTACCTGACCTTAGATATCCATAAAAGTATTTTATTTCTAATTACACATGTATCTTTACTTATAAAATATGAGGATATCAATTTTGGTTGGATATCTGTACCTACACTGTTATGAATTCCTTCCATGATATCGCATATTTTCAGTCATAAACTACTCAATAAAAAACAAGACATTCCTAAGGGTAACCGTTACCCTCATTCGTAATGGCGATTACTTGATATATGTTTTCACTTTTAATAAATAGGACCAGATAAAGGGAAAATATATATATATACTCTATGTGCTTTAGTACATGCAGTTTTGTGTTTTGTCCAAATGAAATAACAAAACTCTACTCAAATGATCCTGGCACCGGTAAAACATATCAGTGGCGGATCTGGTTCGTCGAATGACTGAGTCGCAACATCTGAATCTTTGTATTTATTAAAGTTTCAAATCGTTGGACCATAATGACACATCAGAAATTTTAAAACATGGTGAATTACTAAATACATCTACGTACAGTGTTACAAATAAGAAAATGGGAATGGATATTATAATAAATAGAAAAAACGTAGAATGTGTTTTATCACTCATGAATAATGCAAATAAATCATGTTCTTTATGGAGCTCGAGGTTTGACAAAAATATTCCAAGATAACAATTTCTCTTTACATTTCGAATTCGTATGCATAAAATTTTTATTATTTTCCGAACACTAAGTTTTTGTAATAATACTTTTTTTTACCCAAATCTATAGTCATTAGAACATGACTGTATAATTATAAAATGAAAATAATCTTCAATAACATTCAAGGAACATATTTGATACAAGATCCATTTTTTAAAAGATTATTCATGTGCATATCTAACGTTTTTGAAAATTCAGATTATGAGTTAAAAAGCCTGATCTATGCAGTTTGTATTTTGTATACATGTACAAGTAATTAAAATGTTTGCTTTACAGCAATATTGTACATGTACATCAATGGCATCAACCAGGTCTTGTTTAACTTCGAGCATGACTACGAATAAATATAAAACATATGATGAATATAAACCTCAAGAAATCTTTGTTTTATTACCTTGTGCAAATTTATTATTGTCAAAATCTGCATTGAAAATAAATATGCATGTGTAGCCAAGTCCCAGCTGGTTAAGTTCATCTTGTATGTCTTCTTGAATTTGGTCTTACAATATCTTTACAGTTCAGTTGAATTGCAATCCTGATTTCGATAGACTATTATATGTACCCTTAAATTCTTAAAAAAATATTTCAGGCACGTAGCATCAGTAGGACCCCCTCCCCACTTTTTTCCAAATATAACCTATACTTCTATTGTAAATGTCCACTGAAAAGCTGGTTGCACCCCCCTTTTAGTTGTAGTAATTAGTTTAAATCAAAGTAATTCGGTATTATAATGTGTTTCGAAAAGAAAGTAGAACCCCCCCCCCTCCCCCCACAAAATAGGATTTTCGAGTTTTGACACTTTACCTTTTTTTTTTGTTTATCAAGGTTTTTTTCAGGTAGGTTGTCAAAATAAATTTGGCTGCCCCCGTTTCAAAAAGATATTACGTGCCTGTATTTTATAATTTTAAATTTTCTTAACTCCTTTATATGCATTCAAAGTAGACTAGCGCCGGTACATCAAAAACAACATAAATTAAGCTTTTATTAATTCACATAAGTAAAACGACTGTATAATTTTTCTACATTTTCATGGAGTTTTATGAAATCACCACACGTTGCTCAAAAGTTAAGACTACATGTACTACTTTGTTACATACAAATATAAAAAAGTGAGATATGCATTTCAATATTAAAATTTAAGTTGCACAATTATTCGCTCGATTTTCTTTACTGTTGACTTCCAGAAAGTTTTCGGTCAAATTCCACAACCCAGACGATCGCAACATTGCTTCAAACTCTTTGTATGAATTGATAATAATCTTTAATCAAAAGGTATAATTGGTGTGTCAAATAGCTATAAATCGATTAGCGTACAAGTGCCTTTCGTTCCAGAACCATGCAGCAGGGAGGGATCTCTGTATGAAAAGGTCACGCATGCACATCCTTGATTATTACCAAAAGTACACACAGTGGGTGGTGGAGGAGAAGAGTTTGATTTGTTGTTGACTCCTGTATTATGGCACATGTTGTTTTTATTTAGGCCTATATGTCATTGTTTCAAACTTTCAAAAGAGGAATGGCATACTTTAAAAAATCCAACAATTAAACACACAACTGGTAATATGCATCCCCCTTTTTTACGTTATCTATACTATACTATACTATATATATATATATATATATATATATATATATATATATATATATATATATATATATATATATATATATATATATATATATATATATATATATAATATATATATACAGTGGCGCCGCGTTTATCCGGACGCCATTTATCCGGACGCTTCAACATCCGGACGATATTTTTTGAGTACCGATTTTTTCCACGTTATTTTGTCTCATTAATCCGGAAATTCGCCTTCCGTATCCGGACGGTCAATTTCTAGTACAAAACGTAATTGTTCATTGAAAAATGACTCGTTTATCCGGACGGTAATTTTTTAAGAAACGACTTTTTCACACTTAGCTTGCATTCGTGTTAACTGTTGTAAAAACATTGGCCATGCAGTCAGTTTGAAGGCGGTTACCTGTGACCTACAAACAATAGCGTCTATAATTAGCGTGTGTTTACCCCAATTCAATCACACGTTTATCTTTAGAATTTAGATAATAATCCGTTCAAAATCATATTGCTAACAGAATGTACATTGGTAAATTCATGAGAATTTCGGAGAGTTGTAAATAAAATGAACAATAAATAACGAGCGATTTTGTAATGCTCTTTATCATGTCGATTGCGTTAGTTTAAAATACTATTTTCCATTTCTAAAAACGTAGATGTATTTGAAATGCTTGTTCCCCACAAGACAGTTTAGAAAGGTACATAATTGAAGAAATATCTCCATTTAATGTACTACCGTTTACAAACGTCCATTACTTTAGAAAAGATATATAAAACTGGTGTTACGTACAGAAGTTGATTACGTTTATCAAGGTATTTTTAATGATCGAAATTCAAACTTAGCGTCTGTAGGAAAAAAAATATTGATAATCATGAAGATGACTTGTGTATACGAATGTTTTTAATACTTTGAGTAAGCTTGCAGTTAATTTTATAGAAACCCTGTATAATGAATATACGGGGAATATTCGGGGTTAGTTTATATTTGAACATTTTTAATGATGATGCTGAACAGTTCTGTCATATCATATGAGCTTCAATAATTATAATATATGGCAAAATAAAACAACTGTAGATCAAAATTTGCTCAGCCCATGAAGTCACAGGCCAAAGAGAAGGTGAATTAAAATAGGAGGTCTCAGCATAAAATTGCCCATCCATTTTTTTATTGTGTAAATTACATTTTAATATATTTTTTTTCTTTAATCAATTACTGCTTTTAAAACAATAAACCAAAATTTAATTTAAAAGTTTTTTTTCTTTGCTGTCACATTTGAAACAAGAATGTGCATAAATACAATGTACATGCTTAGAGAGTGCTTTTTGAGATGTGATTCAATTATCCGGATGATTCATTTATCCGGACGATTTCGTTGGGGACAGAGGCGTCCGGATAAACGAGGCGCCACTGTATATATATATATATATATATATATATATATATATATATATATATATATATATATATATATATATATATATATATATATATATATATATATATATACATATATATATATATATATATATATATATATATATATATATATATATATATATATATATATATATATATATATATATATTCCGTGTAGAATGTTTTTTTTATTCGGGGGTGTTCATATACTACAAGTTTAAGATTGTGTGCCTGTCAATTTATCTAAATGTATAATATACGTTGTACATATTCTTGAGAGTCTAGCGGAATTTTAAAAGAATTTTTTAAAAAAGATTACTAACACATTACTTTATATGTTTCAAGCATCCAAGCCACATTGAGCTGTTCTCTAATGAATATTAATGAAATGTGCGCAATGAGGGTGCGTTGCATATTATGTCGATATTGTATTCTCACTCGTGCAGTTCTTGCGTTTGTGTAATTTCCTCACTATATTGTGTAAATATTTAGTTGATTGTGCAGTTTTTCTATAGTTTGTGTAAATTTCAATAACTTCGTGTATATTTTCCTCACTTGGTGTAAGTTTTTACTTACTCGTGTAATTTTTGCTTAAGGTCGTGCAGAAAATAATTTTGAAGCAATCGGCGTGCCATATTTAAGCCTTAAATTAGACTATATTGCTAAATTAATCTATGATTATTGTGCATACATATGCTTTTGATATTTATACTTCGAATTTTTTGTTAAACATTTTGCTATAATTCCACACAACGTCATTGAAAAGAACACGTATAAGCCTTAAATTCCGGAAATTTGAACTGGACCACTTTCGAATTTAAGGTACCCGCAAATGGGCGGAGATATTTAAATCACATGGAAGTGGAATGTAAACATTTGCACATTATTTCCAGATTGATTCTACAGTATGAATTTAAATGGAGAAAAAGATTGTGTAGTTTCATGATTCACACAAATAATAAATGATTCAGGGCCATACATATTGATCATTTTCATGATTCATAACCATATGTTTGATGCCTAGCACCGAATTAGATCAATCTTAAGTTTTCGTATATGATAAAAAATGCCCCCTCTTTTTTCTTTAGCTTTATCATTTTTCGTTTTATATGCTGAATGCTTTTCAATTCAAAGAATGTATGTATGTTTTAAGAAAGATTCACATGTTCATGACTTCGATGTCACACTACATTTAATCGTAATTCACTGTACATGTAGTACGTAGAGTAATACAAACGTATAGTGAAACAAATTATACATGTATGTAGTACTCACGGTGATACATATTTTATTATATGCCTGTATAGATAAATAACATTCGGAAATGAAATATAAAATTTTAACTTAAAAATTTGAGTCTCTAGGTTAACATGAAAAATTTTAACTTAAAAATTTGAGTCTCTAGGTTAACATGAAAACTCCAAGAAATACAAACTATCTGTAATTTAAATTAACATTTTATTGACGGAACAAGTATATTTCAGATTAAAAAACATGGTCAACGAAAATTCTACAACGTTACTATATCGATAATCACTCGCTTATGTCTTCAATATCTCTTTCATTTCGGCAATCCAAATATTGTCAGGTGTGATACTAGTGTTTAGGGATGTGTCTGTAGATGTCTGCAGACCATAATACAGAGGCGACATGAGCTAACACAGCTATATACTAATCGTGCACTTGATTTGCACTGGCAGTACCAGAATTTCCCTCAAAATACCAGACAAAAAACACAATTTAGTGAAAGAAGACAAGGTAAACTTTAAGACCCTAATAAAATTTTCGCAAAATTCTTGATTATTTTGAAGTTGTTCAGGCCGGTATAAACGGTGAGATTTGTAGTTACTGTATAATACAAGTATTATATTTGTATTGTAATACTTTCCTGTACACACGTTTATACGTTTTATTAGATTGTTAATAGACTTTAGGGATTTCTACGTGTTTCCCTCGCAATATCTCTCTCTCTCTCTCTTCCAATAATGGAAAACGAGGTTCTGTTAGCAGTATCTGTTATCGTATTATGCATTGCATTAAAACTGAAAAAAAAACATTGTAATGGAAACAGCGGCGGAACACTCGTATATGTACTTGGTGCACACAATGCATCGCTAGGTGAGGTGCAAAGAGAAGACCCCAGTAGTTATAAAAACTTCTTTAGAATAGATAACGCTGCATTTGAGCACCTTTTACAATTACATGTAGTTACTCCTTTTGATCTTCTTCCCATAAAACAACGAATTTTTTCGTTATTTTTACTGCTAAAGTCGACCATTATTTACCACGTGCTTTTTTTTTGTTATGATAAAAATAGGATGACCACAATGTGAGTACTTTTGATTGGTTTAAAAATGAAAGGTAAGTTAAGACTTGTATTAAGAAACAGAGCATTGCCCTATTCTTAATACAGTTTTATAATATTCGAAAAATCTTAGGATTCACCGTATTAAAAGTCTATAAATAGTCAGATTTTGTACTTAAATATACATATCCGTGTGTACAGCCCTGAAGTCCATTGATAGACACAATGAAAGCATATCGAACAGTGGAATGTCACGTGAGTAAAGTGATTATAATATCAAACAGGTCAAAATAGGTTGACACTCGGTGACCTGTTAATTTAGTAGCTAACCCGACCGTAGTTTGGAGATTTTTTTTAAAAAATTACATATGAGCCGCAAATTGTCCAACATTGCCCTTTGGATATGTATAAGTTTAAATCAAAATTCACATTCTGTGCAAATGAGAAGAATGGACAAATTGCGGCTTGATGTAAACAATGTCGTTGAAAACTGGTGTGCATATGAATAACAATAGAAATGTGACAAAACTGCTAGACTCCTGTCGCAAAAACCAGTGTCGCTCAGCATTATTTAATATTTTTATGTGATATAATATATCAAACCCTGCTCTTAAGATATTGTTTAATAATTCTGTTTCAAAAAGTTTATAAATTTCGGAAATTTATCATTGGCAAAGCACCGGGATCCAACTCTCATAGCTTAAGTGCACTCATCCTTTAAATATCATATATAGTTCTCAAAAATATTTTTGGATCATTAAATGTGAACATATTAATGTCTTACTTCAACTTGGAAATTATCTCTCTAATCATTTAATATAACATTGTAAAGCACGGCGACTTGATTTGTATGTATGTTACTTTTACACAATTTTATTTTATCTCATAATTGATTACTAGTACTGCCTTCGTTTATTATGGTATCTTTCATGCCTCTCTGGGGGAGGGGGGGGGGGCTTGATTGGAAATAAACTATAATTGTCTATACTTGTCTATTATTGTCCAGCAACCAACAAAACCTAGGAAGAGGATCTAATTAAAACGAATTTTAAACATGTACTTTGTGATTTAGACTCTTCAAAATGAATGCCTCGATTATATTTTCCTTTTTGAAAGTACATCCATGATTTTTTTTGATATAGTTAGGTTAAACTATAATATAGCTATTAGTGTGGAGCATAGAGTTAGCGATTTAGAAATTCATTCGACCAACAATCTATAGTAAAAATGACCCTGCATGGTTTACTAATTGCACTTTGTGTAACCCTTTAAAATTCATGATTTTGGCACTCTACTTATATCTTTTCAAAATCAACAAATTAATTTCTCCCCTTTTTTTGCAGTAATAACTTTGTCGTGTCACATTGCCATGGTGATTATATCCGGAATTCTCCTAGCAACAGGGTTCAACCTCTTTCCAACAAACTTCGAGAAACTTCCGATGGAGCTTTATGACATTCCGTACAGAGTAAGAGATTACGCTTGGCAGGACAAAGACAGCTACAGCAATAAAATTAAGAGGACTCTTTCACAACAGGTTGTGCAAGAGAGAGGTCTTTTTTCAGTGTTCTCTTCAATTGACTTGTTTTACGACACAGACGGAGGAAATATCTTCACGAAAGCCAACTTGCAGAGGATACATAATATTGAAAACGATCTGGCCAGTTCAACATCCTATTCCTCTGTTTGTATGACGCACAACGACACACTAGCTTGTAAACCTTTTAAGTCTGTTTTGAGGTATTTCGATGGAACATACAAACAAGTTAGCGCTACATTAGACGACCCTAACTTTAATAACATAGCTGCCGTTCTTTATGAAGCTTTCACAAACAATGCCACTAAGGAAGATTTTCAGTTCTTTCTTCCCAAAGGATATAGCTTGACTGCTACACATGCGCATGGAACTATCACACGATCAATTTTGCGAGTAGGATGTTCCATAAATGGCTCTACTAAGTGCTTAGCAGATACATGGAAAAAGCAAGCTTTGACTTATTTAAAAGATGGTATTCAGACAAAACTGAAAAAATATGTAGACGAGTCTACAGACGACTTTAAATTTTACTTCTTCTGCACTAATTTGTGGTTGTCGGATACTCTCAAACAAGCCATTTTGGACATGTTATGTGCCGTTGGCAGTATGCTATTCATCTTTTGTTTTATGTTGTTTCACACCAGGTCTTTTTGGATCGCCGGATTTGCCATTCTAAGCATTCTTTTAAGTTTTTTAGGAACAAATATTATATATACGGGTGTTATTGACTTTCAATATTTCGGTTTCTTTCATATCTTGTCCATTTTTATCATTTTGGGTATTGGAGCGGATGACCTTTTCGTGTTTTATGATAACTGGCGACTTACAGCGTTTTCCACGTACCCAAGTCTCGCACATCGTCTGTCAGATGCTTACTCAAAGTCCGTCCTCAGCATGTTTATCACGTCACTAACCACGGCCGTTGCCTTTTTCTCCAGTTCCATTTTTTCACTTCTAGCCACTCGATCCTTTGGTATTTTTTCCGGAGTACTTGTTATTTACAATTATATGTCTGTGATTATATTCTTCCCTACTGTGATAACAGTGTATCATTTGAAATTTGAACAGTGGAACTGTCCTTGTTGTCGAAAATGCAAGGAGAAAGAGGATGAAACCACTTCAGAGAAGACTAAAACTGGCGTAACTAACGAGGTGTTTGTTATAAAAGAATTAGAATTAACCGTGGAAGACACAAAGTTACCTAAGGGTGGCACTAATGGAAGTGTTGTTAATGTTACCGTCAATGGAAATCCCGTTTCCAACATTAAAGAAAAATCTACGCTATCAAGTAGCTATGCCAATGGAATAGCAAATGGCAAATCCGCTAATCTGAATGGACATGCAAATGGGTTTATTGCAAATGGTAAACCTTCTGCTAACGGAACTATCATAACGTCAGAGAACAAGAACACACAAGACTCATTGGTTGTCAAAGCCTTGCATAAAAAGAAGCAGAAAAAATTGACAGTGTTTTTCAGAGACTATTACCTCCGCTTCATAACGAACAAAATCACAAGATGTATTGCTATTCCCGTCTATGCTGTCGTGGTAGCGTTCCTCGCCTACTCTGCGTCCACTCTACAGCCAGATAACGAAGAGGTTAGATAATGCTACATGTACAGTACTGTGGAATCATTTTAATTCGCGAGGGGTGAATGTTAGCAATCAAAGTATTAATGGTTCTGTTGGGGGTATTTTGTATGTACAGAAGATTGTACAGAAGATTTAAATCGCCCGCGTGGCGCAGTGGTTAGAGCGTTCGCTCTAGAGTCGCGGAGTAAGGAGTCGATCCTTACGTCGCGGGTTCGAATCCCACTGTGCGACGTGGAGACCGTCCTTCGGATGAGACTGTATAAACCGAGGTCCCGTGTCGCGGTAGGTGCTGGCACGAAAAAGATCCCTCACTGCTCAATGGCCCTGAGTCCCGAGTATAGGTCAAAATTTCTAGCTATCCACCGATAAGTGGCGGCGTCTCCATATGAGTGAAAAATTCTAGAGAGGGACGTTAAACAATAAAAAAACAAACAGAAGATTCAATGAACTGGTACGTTGAAAAAGTTATCGTTCGATGAGATGTAACTTCGTGGGTAAAGGTGACCCTCGAACATTAGTCCCCCCACGAATATTGATGATTCAGCAGTATAATGTGTATTTACAGTATATTGTGTTTGATGAAGTTGTGACACTTTGATTAATGTACACTGAACAAAATCTCCACAATATGACAAATAAACATAAGGATCTCTTTCATTCATTATATTGATATATTATGCAAATCTTTGAAAACAGATCTCGATGTTTCACTTCTATCCTACAGGCACTTGCCACTCGGCACGAGAAAAAAGAAAGAGTGGAAAGTGCCGATCTACTGTCGTCAAAGATGTCTAAAGTTTTTTTCTTCTATATCTTTTAGCTTCAGATCTACAAGAAATCTCACTTCTACACAAAAGCCCAAAACAAAGAGTTGTATTCATTTGTTAAGAATGTGGACGACAATTTGGTGAAAATCTATATTGTTTGGGGAATCTCTGAAAAAGACCGGAGTGATTGTCATTTCTCATCCGTAGATTGTCGAGGTAACCAAGTGTACGACTCCTCCTTTAATCCAAACCCTCTAGACAACCAGCTGGCTTTAATGGTTTGTTTGATGATTTTAAGTCTTTAATTCCCTTTCCGTTTTTTAACTAATATGTAGACAACTCATAATTTCTTGTTATATATTTTTGACCTTTTTATTCCAGAGTTTCTGTAACTCGTTCTACAGTATGTCACCGTCAGAATTGAGTATGTACAAAATAAAAACAGACATATCTGGGAATCCAGAAGTCGCTTGCTTCACAAGAGATCTTGATACATATCTAAAGGTAAAAACATCAGTTGTCAGAGAAGATCCGAATCGTTGCATAAATACCAAAGTTCCAGTTTGTATTGAAGAATTTTTTTGGTCACTTGTTGGCGCTTTATGTCTTATCACTCCCACACTTTGATTCTTATTTGTTTCTCTAATGTAAGAAAACGAGTATTTGATCGGTTGCCATGATAAGCGAAGTAATAATGTACATATACGTTGAAGTAATTGAGTTTTGCAAAAGGAGAAAAAGGTACCATAAAATGTGCTCGTTAGTAACAGTTTTTTCTCTTACTCCAGTTCCTTAATCTTTGAATGTCAAAACAAATTCGGCAATCTTTATGTCTTTTGACAACTAAAAATGTTTAGGAACTTGAGTGCAAAAAACGGTAACTAACTCGCACAGGTTATGAAACCTTTGTATTGGAGTTGCGCGTGAGACAAACATAAACTAAAAATATCTTGTGGTTAAAATATACATTTCCAACCAAGACATTTTTATCCGAATTCGCGAAAACTTTAATGAAGTGTATGATATCGAAGTGAAATTTTCGAAAGATATTGTTCTTTTGAACTTTACTGGAGATAAAAATTTACGGCTGTTAGAAAATGTAATTATTATAAATTAAAGATGGGCGAACATGCCAGAAAAATGCCAACGGTTGGCCAAATTAGAAAGTGAAAAATTAAATCTCAATTATAACAATTTTCTTTGGTATTTCAGTTAACATTCCCCCTCAACGAAATGGGTTTTTCGCGTTTTTAGGTCACCTGAGTCACTCAGGTGACCTATCTCTATCTATTTTCGTCCGTCGTCGCGCGGGTGTGCGTCGTGTGTAAACTTTTCACATTTTCGAATTCTTCTCAAGAGCCACTGGGCCAATTTCCACCAATCTTGCCACAAAGTATCCGTAGGTAATGCTGATTCAAGTTTGTTCAAATGAAGGGCCAAGCCTTTTTCCAAGGGGAGATAATTAAGAATTAGTGAAAAATTAATGGTATCTTTTAAAAATCTTCTCAAGAACCGCTGGACCAGGTAAGATGAAACTTATATGGAAACATCATCAGGTAGTGTTGACTCAGGTTTCTTAAAATCATAACCCCCAGGGGTAGGGTGGGGCCACAATGGACGATCAAAGTTTTACATAGAAAAAATCTTTAAAAGTCTTTTCTCAAGAACCACTGGGCCAAGAAAGATGAAATTTATTTGGAAACATCCTTAGGTAGTGAAGATTCAATTTTGTTCAAATCATGACCCCCAGGGGTAGGGCGGGTCCACAATGTTTGATCAAAGTTTTACATGGGAATATATTGAAAAAAAAAATCTTCTCCAAAACCACTAGGCCAAGAAAGATGAAACTTATATGGAAACATCTTCAGGTAGTGTAGATTCAAGTTTGTTAAATTCATAACCCCCAGGGGTAAGGTGGGGCCGCAATGGACGATCAAAGTTTTACATAGAAAAAATCTATAAAAATCTTCTCCAGAACCACTGGGCCAAGAAAGATGAAACTTATATTGAAACATCCTTAGGTAGTGAAGATTCAATTTTGTTCAAATCATGACCCCCAGGTGTAGGGCGGGTCCACAATGTTTGATCAAAGTTTTACATGGGAATATATTGAAAAAAAAATCTTCTTCTCCAAAACCACTGGGCCAAGAAAGATGAAACTTACGTGGAAACATCTTCAGGTAGTGTAGATTCAAGTTTGTTAAAATCATTACCCCCAGGGGTAAGGTGGGGCCGCAATGGACGATCAAAGTTTTACATAGAAATACATAGAAAAAATCTATAAAAATCTTCTTCTCCAGAACCACTGGGTCAAGAAAGATGAAAGTTATATGGAAACATCTTCAGGTAGTGTAGATTCAAATTTGTTAAAATCATGATCCCCAGGGGTAGGGTGGGGCCACAATGGACAATGAAAATTTTACATTGGAATACGTAGGAAAAATCTTGAATTTTTTTTTTCTCAAGAACAGCAAAACCACGATTGGTTATATTTACATGGAAACATCCTCAGGTAGTATAGATTCAAGTTTGTTCAAATCATGACTCTGGAAATAGGTAGGGCCACAATGGACGATCAAAGATTTTCAAAAGCTTCTTCTATCAGTTTATTTTATACTCTATAGATCCTCTATGGATTGTTGTTTTATACTCAGATGACCGTTAAGGCCCTTGGGCCTCTTGTTCATTTTTTCTTTTGCTTGCCAAATATTTTTGAGTCGAATTTTCTATTCTTTTAAGTGGTTATTCCTGGATCTGTCTTTCATCTTTATCTGTTGCCTTTACAGTCGCTTTCTATAGGCGGGTTGAACCTGTCGCTGCCCTGGGATTCAGCAAGAATGCTGTCATTCATGAACGCTCAACCAACCTATTACGACCCTACTGGATTCTCTTCATATACAGACTGGCTGTCGGTAAGGGCAATGATTTTTTATATATATATATATATATATATAATTTAATTTGTATCATTATATTTTGTTTTCACATTACTACATGTATATAAAATATTTTTAATGTATAATTGTTGATTCTCTCGTCATCAGTGTTAAGTAAAGCTTCAGTGTTTATTGATTTTACGTTTCAGCATATACTTTGTTAAGTGATATTACTTCATTCACCCAGAATAAACCCAGGTGATAAAAGTAATTCGTTTGTTCTGAATTAATATCCATTTTTATACAATACTTCGTTTTTATACAGATACACGCATACATAAATAATTATAAAAAAAACTCTACGTGTATCAAAATGTAAAAGGCTGGGTTTTCAGCTCACCTAAGCCAAAGGCTCAAGTGAGCTTTTCTGATCGAAATTTGTCCGTTGTCTGTCGTTGTCGTCTCGTTGTTTTTGTAGCAAACTCTCACAATTCCATATTCTTCTCATAACCACTGAGCCAATGTCAACCAAACTTGCTACAAAGCATTTTTGTGTGAAAGGGAGATTCAAGTTTATTCAAATGAAAGGTCATACCCTCTTTCAAAAATCTTCTTCTCAAAAAATACGCACCAAGTTTGTTCAAATCTTGATCTCCCAAAGTAGGGCGAGGCCACAATAGGCGATCAAAATTTAGCATAGGGGTATATAGGAAAAATTCTTTTAAAAATCTCTCAACAACAGCAAAGTCATGGTTAATCATATAGTTATATATGGAAACATTATCAAGTAGTTAGAAGTTTGTTCAAATCATGACCCCCTAGGGTAGGGTGGGGCCACAATGGGCAATCAAAGTTCCATATAAGAATATATAGGAAGAATGTTTCAGGAACAACAAAGCCATGGTCAGTCTTATTTATATATTATTTTATATGGGAACATCCTCAATGTGTAGCCTTGCCCTCAACCTTTAGAATTAAAAAGTAGAAAACCAACATGAATCATTATTGGACGTGAACTATTTTGCTCAAGAGCAGGGTAAAAAAAAACTACCAAGGCGAGTTGTTTCGGCAGTTGTTGAGTTCTGATTCAAGAGCAATGTAAATTGTCCTAGGGGCGAGTTGTCTCAGAAGCGACTTGTTTAGTATATTGGCGCATGCACAACATAACTTTTCCTCATAGCATCCGCTTTAACCTTATATATCTAGGATAACTAATTTATTTTTATATATTTTCCTTAAATATATTTTTGGCATCTGTTTTCCGTCTGGCTCAATGATTTACAGTGTACCTATTTAAAACAATATAATTATTTATATATGAATAAAAACAGATATTTCACTCTCCATTTAGATGAACAACCCTTCCTCAATTCAATGTATTCTTTTCTGCACTTAAGATCATATTTTTAAATATAAAAAATGGAAATAAAACTGAGATTCAAGAAAACAAAAAAGCATACTAACATTTGAAAATATGGAGTACAATTTGAGGTAAAGCAAGCAGTAGGTTTTTATACAGGAAATTGATTGAAACCAATTTTAGGGTTATTTCTTTTAGCACAAGGTTATAAATTCTTAAATTCAGAATGTTGAACTTCTGCTATGGTGATATTTAATTGGTTGAAGAGTTTGTTATACTAGTATGGGGTTGTACTAGTTTACTTAATCTAAATAGTTTCAAAATTCCTTTGTCTTCTTTTATTGATTCCTGGCTTTGGTTTTTCAGATCCCTATGCAGTACTGGATGTATGCGGGCTATTCTGGGAACTACACGGCAGACTACGGTGTGTACAATGATCTGTTTGGAGAAGAAAAGACAACATTCAGCAAACAACTCAAAACAGATAACTGTGAGTGTCCATAAAATAAAAACACCTTTTTTACACTGAAAATGATAAACAAGTTCAAGAACTTATTTCAGTATCTCGTATTTGCGCGGGTGTAAACGGTCAATAGGGGTTTTTCACACTGTTACCCCAGTCATTCAAACACTATGTACCCTTAAAAATGTTATTCTATACAATGACAAGGTTTTCCTCTCTCTTAGCAATATACTACGGGAACAAGTTGAAATACCTTGCTGTGCAGGTGAATACTACCATCAATAAACGGATAACTGGGTACTCGACTGGTATACCTTTAATTGAGAAGTGGGAGAAACTCATTGAAAACAAGGTGTGAAAAATAATAACTATATATATAGAAATAAATAAAACACACACCTGAAATTAAAAGGTGCTGTTAATCATTTTAGTGCGAGTACATATTAATTTTAAACCGACCTCATTTTAATGTCCACATAAACATTTAATGTGATTACTGATATTTATAATTGTCACCTATTTCCATAAGTTGACAGTAATTCGGCTTCTCTCGTTAAATATTGCTCTGTAGAGACAAAGTCAGAAATTTTATGTATTCAACAACTGCTCAGTCTGGCAATTTTAGTTCGAAAAAATGATATACATGTTATTACCATCATATCACGACAAATGTAGAAGCATACTTGAATGAAAAGTATTTTTTCCTGGATCCGAACCATAATTAATGAAGGCTGATTATATGACGTTAATTTTTATGCACTTTGGTTTTAGATGAAGACAATGCCAACAGGAGTCAATAGTGCCGTCCAACTGACCAAACAAACATGGCATTGGATCTATGTCCTTAAGGTCAGCAAATAAACAGTAAATCATGGTTACAGAGAACACGCTTATAATGTACATGTATTTACACTTACAGCGAAGTCATTTTTATTCCCTGTAGATTTAAAACTACTAATACTAGTAATAAAAAGTAGGGGATATAATTTATTACGTTTATAACGAATCAAAATTGTTTCTTCCCTAGCACTTCGATTTAAGCGCGTTTTACTCTGTAGACTATACAGTTTAGATGTCTGCAGAATTGATTGGTTAAACAAAAATTATCATTAATAATATGTATCTTTGGTATTCGTCCATAGTTCTGCATATCTTTTTTTTCATGTGTTACATTCATTGTTAATTTATTTAACTTGCAGAAACTTGCAGACAACGCCTTACTTGGAATCGTGATCGGGGTGTGTCTCGCCTTCCCCATTCTCTCTTTGTCCACCATGAACTTCGTGATCGGTTTCCTCGCCACATTTTCTATCTGTTGTACCACTGTCTGTGTCATTGGGGTCATTCCACTGGCTGGCTGGAAACTAGGGGTAGATATACATGTACAATTTAGAGAAGATACTAAAAAATATGGATTTTGTTGGATATCAACAGTCTCGTTTGAAGTCATCTTTTCGCAAGTTTTTCCATCGATAAAATGACCTTATCAGCACATACAACCTATCATTGAGTCATATGCTGACTGATGTTTTTCATACAAATTGTAAGGCCATTATTTATACACTGAACTGTCTACGGATTTTTCCGGTTTTTCCCGATCATGACAAGGAGCACACGGCGGGTGTGACCGGTCGGCAGGGGATGCTCACTCCTCCATGGCACCTGATCCCACCTCTAAATTTTGAGGTCCGTGTTTGCTCTGCTCCAAATTTGTATCGTTTCATTGGACTTCGAGATTGAATACTGTTCGTTATCTTCATATTTCATTTAAAAGTTAAGAAAAAAACCCTGAAATGATTATTCTGATTACATCAAAGTTTTTGAATTTTATACTATTTCATTTAGTATTAATTAGAATGTTCCATTGTAACTCTGTTTCAGTTGTTGACGTCATTAAATATGTGTCTGGTAGTCGGCCTAGCGGTGGATTTTGTTGTGCACTTGGCGGAAGGATACACTCTCTCTCTTCACAAAGACAGATACAACCGGACACTTGACATGCTAGAGGAAATGGGGTCTTCAGTTTTCTCCGGCGCATGCACTACTCTGGGAGCAGCTTTATTTATGTTTGCGGCAGAAATCCAATTCTTTATGCAATTCGGCGTATTTATGTTTTGCACAATCGGGTTTTCTCTTATATTTTCATTAGGATTGTTTACATTGCTAGTGGGGTTACTCGGCCCACAGAACAATACTGGAAATTTGAAAGTCTTGTTTCAAAAATGTCGTTCAAGGTGCCAAAGGACTGATTCCAAGCGATGAAGTTGATCCACTGATCCTTGGAAATGACGGGAAACGTCGTTAAATATTGTGTCGTTTCAAATCGTTGTGAGATTGTTCATTGTGTCCATCATTTCAATATTTGATAGAATCTCTATTTTTATTGTTGTCCGGGACTGAGTAATCTAAGTAGAGAAGTCCTTGTTTTTGTTAAACTTTTATTGTTGGCATCATGCTTTAAATCCTAAGAGTGCCAGAAAAATCCAACCGTCGTGTTGATGTACTGTGAATGTTATACCTTTACATGTATCTGTCAATGGATGGATGCTATATTTAAATGAAAGGCCAAGGGTATATTTCAGTTCGAATTTATCCAAAATTTTTTTAATTGTTCCTATGAATGGATTGTTTCCTTGTTACTTTTTTAATAAAATATGAAATCAATGCGTTCCCTTCTTATGAAAGCTGTATATTTCTGAGAAAAAGAACAAATTTTCGGTACACAGAGTATAAGCAAACATGATAGGGTAGGAACAAAACATGTACATTATGCTGTTAAACATCTAGTTATGTTACACCTTAAATGCTATTTTGATATTTAAATTTTCAGAGTTTACAGAAGTTACTGAGGGATCATTACTCCAGGTAAAAAAATTAAGATTGTTTAACTTTAGGGGGTAGGTGAGTGGCTGGAATGGGGGGTGGTTGTTGAGGAGAGAGCTCCCTGAAATCTGCCTTTAGACATATAATGAGTACATTGTTAAAATACTTCTTTGAACAGACTCAAAACAAGTCTCTCTCTCTCTCTCTCTCTCTATAACCTTAATAGTACAAACATGCGTGAAATAATACATGCATGAAAATAAACTACACATATCAATTTCAAAGATTATGCATTTACCAAGATATATGGATTAGACGATGATTAGGTGATGAATTGTGTACTGAAATTGCTTCAATTCCTGACCATAGAAAATCAAAATTGCTTGCGAGAAATTGTAATGAAGTTTCAAGAAAAAATTAACGAGAACGTATTATGAGAGAAAACATAATCTTCAGATAATTCATTGAGCAATGTCCTTGATTCAGACAGGTCTTTTTATTTTTTTGGAAAAAAGCTAAATTAAATACAACATGCACAAGGAATTATCTATTTGAGACCATGGACTGTTAGTAATTTGAGAGGATGTTTTTTACTCATTGTCGTTCTAAGAATGACCAAATAAGATAAAAGGAATGGAAACTTTATGAAATAAAAACAACAGATAAATGTAGCCCGATTTAGTAGTTTATTTTGACACGTCAGATATTTTCATTGACTTAAGAATAAAATGTTTAGGAACAGAGAACACTCTCACAAATCCTTTGAACAAAACGTGAACAGGGCAAAACATGGACTCCTGGAAACACCAGAGATGGGATCTGGCCTTACGAGGAGTGAGCGCCCCCTGTGACCGGTATCACTGAGAGTCTATTGTACAGACTAATCCGTAGTTAAAATTGTATGACAATCAAGAGACTCAGCAATGGGTTGTATTTCCAAACAAGGTCATTATAACGACTTGTAGTGCAAAGGATTATATCATTTAATAATTAACTGTTATAAGTTACTGCAGATGTGCCCCCTCTGTGAACTATAACATTGTGTTATGGTGTAATTTATCAACTGCCATTTTACACACTAAATGCATATTGTATATTTTTTTTTCTATTTATCATTAACATCGAAATAAAGAAATAGAAGGACTTCGTGCAGTTTGATTCAAAATGATTGTTCCAACCTACTCAGATTTAATGAATGCTACTTTACTCAGAGTCAATAAAAAACAAGTTCTTTTTCTTTAATCTTCTTTTTATAAATAAAGCGTTCCACATCAAACTGAAATTAGTTCGTGGTGTCAATAGAAGGTAAATAACATGCTTTTTTTTTTTTACTCAGGACAATTAATTTAATCTCTTGGTAGATTTGTTTATTTAACTTACATGCTTTTTAAAACCGCTTTTACTATACATAATTAAGTAATCTACATTGCTTGAGGGATCTCTGTGAATACCGGAGCGATTGTCATTTCTCCTCCATAGATTGTAGAGGTACCCAAGTGTACGACCCCTCCTTTAATCCAAACCTCGAGACAACCAACTGGCACAGTCATAGTACCTGTCGGTAAGGGTCATGAATGACGTCATATACTAATTGACTACCCTGCAATGATCAGTTTGTTTATACGTCAAACAGGTGTCATAACCATCAATAATTTGAAGTTCTAATGATCAATCTCTGTATGTAATGAAGTTATTCCAATATATCCGTGACAAGCTAATGTTTCATCTCTGTTTGTAACGACGATTTAATTTGTATCATTATGATTTATAAGATTTTTTTTACACTACTGTTGGTTCTGTCGTCAACAGCATTAAGTATACGTTTCTCGGTGTTTATTGATTTTATCTGTTACATCTTCTGTTGACTGACATTTTTTTTCTAAGTTCAGTATACGCTTTGTATACTGATTTTATGTATTACTTCACTCGGCTAGCATAAACCGACATTATAAATATAATCCGTTTGATATGAATTAAGATTCCGTATTTTAAGAAGATATTTCATTTTATATCATATTACTAACTTTATTAAATAATTTTATATCAAAATATAAAAGATTGTCTTGTATTTTTAATCAAAGAAAAAATACGGACGTTGCAGTTATACTTAAAAACTATTTAAGGGTCCTTATTTAATGGGATGCGAGAAAACAATGTTGATGCCATACCCTTTGTAGTCTCACATTAGCTATATTCAATCAATTAAGATTGTTTTTGTACATTGACCAATTTCTTTTTGTATTGTTCACACTGAATTAACCACAGATTTCCACGCCTACCCGATCATGACAAGGAGCACACGGCGGTTGTGCACCGGTCGGCAGGGGATGTTTACTCCTCTATGGCACCTTATTCCGCCTCTGTTTTCAGAAGTCCGTGTTGTCTCTGATCATAATTTGTATTGCTTATATGGACTTTTGAGAATGGTTACTGTTTGTTATCATCACATTTCATCAGATGAAACAATTTTGATCCCCGCTCTCCGTCGAGATTATTTTCAAAACTTAGCATACCAAAGTTTAAAAGTATGCAATTTGAGGCAAATGTATGTTTAAGTTCTAAGTGTAAGGAATATGATGAACCATTTAAAGAGGTATTTCTCCTAGCACATGGTCATAATTTCTAAAAATTAGAATGTTGAATTTCGGCAACTATGGTATTTAATTGATCGACTTCGTTAGCATCATCTTGCTTAATCTAAATACATATAGTTTCAAACTCCATTTGTCTTTACCGTATATTATTTCTGCCTTTTGTTTTCAGATTCCTATGCAGTACTGGATGTACGATGCATATACTTTGAATTTCACGGTGGACTTCGGATTGTACAATTATCTGTTTGGAGAAGAAAAGACAACATTCAGCCAAAACTTTAAAACATATAGCTGTAAGTCTCCATCAGATTATAACAACTTTTTTGTAAACTGATTGATAAATATGTCCAGAACATGCAGGTTTTTCACATTTTAAACAGTCATTGCACTATGAAGGGGGCATTAAATGTACTCTTAATAATGTTATTTTATTCAATGACAAGGGATTAACCTCTCATTTAGCGATATAGGACGAGAACAAGCTGAAGTACCTTGCTGTGCAGGTGAAATCGACTATAAACAGACGGACAATTGGGTACTCCACTAGTATACCTATAATTAAAAAGTGGGAGCAACTCATTCAATGTGTGAAAATAATAATAAATTAAAGAAATACTGTAAAACGCACACCTGAAATTTAAAGGTGCTGTTAAATCATTGTTGTGTGTGTACATATTAATTTTAAAGCGATCTCATTTTAATGTCTATATAAACATTTAATGTCATTACTGATATTTTTTAATTGTCACCTTTTCCCATAATTTGACAATAATTCTTCTACTCTCGTAAATTATTGCTCTTCAGAGACAAATTCAGAAAATTTATGAATTTTGCAACCTACCCAGTCTGGAAATCTTTAGTTCGAAAAAATATTATTATCATGATATCATGAGAAAATGTAGAAGCATACTTGAATGAAAAGTATTTTTTCTGAATTCGAAGCATAATTATTCAAAGCTCATTAGATGTTAATTTTTTATGCGCAACAATTTCGTAAGCAATTAGAATGTTCCATTGTATCTCTGTTCCAGTTGTTGACGTCATTAAATATTGTCTGGTAGTCGGTATAACGGTGGATTTTGTTGTGCACTTGGTGGAAGGATACACTCTCTCCCTACAACCGGACACGTGACATGCTAGAGGAAATGGGGTATTCAGTTTTCTCTGGCGCATGCACTATTTCGGAGCAGCTTTATTTATGTTTGCGGCAGAAATCCAGTTCTTTATACAATTCGGGGTGTTTCTGTTTTGCACAGTCGGGTTTTCTCTTATGTTTTCATTAGGACTATTTACATTGCTAGTGGGGTAAATCGGTCCAAAGAGCAACACTGGAAATTTGAAAGTCTTGTTTCAAAAATGTCGTTCAAGGTGCCAAAGGGATAACTGTAAGCGATGAAGTTGATCTCACTGATCCTTGGAAATGACGATAAGCGTCGATAAATATTGTGTCATTTAAAATCGTTGTGAGGTAGTCCATTATATGTCAATAATTTTAATATTTAATAGAATGTCTAATTTTATCGTTGTCAGGGACTAGAATACTAAGTAGACAAGTCTTTGTTATTGTTAAACTTTTATTGCTGGCTTCATGCTATAAATCCTGAGAGTGCCAGAAAAATCCAACCCTCATCGATATACTTTGAATGTTATCTGTCAATGTCAGGAGGCCATGTTCGAATGAAAGACAAAGAATGTGCTTCAGTTCGATATTTTCCAAGAAAGTTTTAATTGTTTTTATCAATTTATTGTTTCCTTATTATTTTTTAAATAAAAGTTTAAATGAATTCGTTCCATTCCATGTGTACGATAAACACTTAGGCATCCCATGCTGTGGAGATCGATTTTAATTTTGTTTAATGTTCAATTCTTATGTGTTGGTGCAATAATGAAACTTAATTTAAACTTAACAATAACAATCAAATTTTCACAAAAAAACCCTGGATAAATCACTTTTTTACTTTGCATTAATTGAAAATATTGTTAGATCAAAGCATTTATTCAATGCGAATACATGTATATGAGTTTCCATCCATTAACCAATATTCTATATTAGACTGATACTTTATTCAAAGCAACTATTTATATGTAGACTGATGAACAAAAATTTAAACGGACTTTTTTTTGGAGCATATGTATTTCCTTTTACGATTTTTTACGTAAACAGAAATACAATATTCTAGTCACGAACGACGAAACTCGCATAAGATGAGAGATTCTGAAACCTATAGTTAAGTAAATTGATGAATAAATGACTTCGAAATTTTTATACTTGTGAAAAACAAAATTTGGGTACAAAGCGCTATTACAAGCATGTTGGGGAGGAATCGAACATGTTGATTATGCTTTTAAACAGATATATGTTATGCTTTAAATACTATTTTGCTGTTAAAAATAATTATTTTGTAAGAAAGCGATATCTAGCTTCTGTACAGAATTTAATAATTACTCCAGTCCCCAGGATCATGAAACAGACTTAGACTTAAGTCAAATGTTCAATCACCTGTGAAATTTTTATTAATTATTAAATCCATCTCTAATTTTACAGATAACAGCACTTTTGTAAAGCAAAATTGAAAAATATTTGAATTTTGGACTACTTGACTTCTACAACATTTTAATACAACACAAAGATTTTGACTTAAGCTTAAGATGTTTCATAATCCTGGGACCAGGCCAGATAACAATACGTTTTTCTTATGATTGTAAATATCTTGGGGTGGGGTGGGGGTGGGGGGTGGGGGGTTACTTCCATTAAATCTGGCTTTAAAACACTTAATGAAAGAAAAATAAGATACTTCTTTGAACAGACTTTACTCTGAATTATCGTGCCAACGCGAGTGAAATAATTTCCCACAATAACAAATACATGAAAATACACTACATGAACACAAAATTTCCAACTGGTACAAAATCACTTTCAAATGATAAGCATTTACCAGACTAGAAATAATGAGTAGAAGAATCATGCTGTTATGAGTTTTCTACTGAAATTAAGTTCAGGTGACCAAAATATATAATGCCTTAAAGAAAATCTAAGCAATTAAAATTACTTGCAGGAAATTAACGTGAAAAGTTTGAAAAACGAGAACTACATGCACCATATTCCTATTATGAGGGAAAACGTAGTCCTCGGGTTTTTTTTTTTCATGAAGCAAGATTCTTACTTCGGACAGATATTACAAATAACAAAATTGCTGACATAAGGAATGACCTATATATAGTGACCTCTGACTATTGGTCATTTACGAGGATGGTATTTACTTGTCGTTTTAAGATTAAATCAGTTAAACCAGAGACGTATAAATGAATGGAAACTTCCTGAAAAAAATCAGCCATAGTAAATCTGGATTAATGTAGGAAAATGTAGCCTAATTTAACATATGCAGATATTTTTATTAAATGTTTAAGTCAATTTGTAATGTAAGAAGATGAAAAACAATGATCTGATCAATCTCATAAATTCAGTACAGTTTACGAATCGTGAACAGGACAAAAACCGGACTCCTGGAAACACCAGAGATAGGATCAGGCGCCAAGGAGGAGTGATTATCCCCCCTGTTGACCAATAACACCCGCCGGGAGCCCTTTTTATTAATCATATAAACGTCTAATCCGTAGTCAAAATGGTATGACAGCCAGAAGGAGACTAAGCAATAGTTCAAAGTCGCTATAATGACTATAGAATTAATGTACACGGAAAATGTTTTTATTGTATGTTTTCGAATAATATTCACACAATTAAATAATGCGTAGGATTATATCATTTAATAATTAACTGTTATATCTGCAGATTTGTCCCCACTGTGAACTGACCTACATTGTGTTATGGTGTAATTTGTCAACAACAAGTTCACAAACTAAGAGCACACTGTATAAATTATATTAATTAATATCGAAATAAACACATAGAAGGACTTTGTTCAATTTGATTCAAATAATCTTAAAAGGATTGTTCCAGCCTACTTTGATTTGATGAATGCCACTAAACCCACAGTAAATAAAAAACAATTACTTTTTCCTTTAATCTTTTTTATCCAAATAAACTCATCCACACTTGAATGAAAGTTAGTTCATGGTGACAATGGGTGATAAATAAGCAAAAGTAATTTATTATTTTTACTCAGGGCAATTAATTAAAACCCTTCATAGATTTGTTTACTTAACTTACATGTTTTTTAAAAGCCCTATTCACTGTCTAAGTAATATATCATGAAGTACGATGCTCAGCCAGGTCAGTTAAACCAAGATAATCTACAAATACAACACAGCATTCAATCTCTGACTATAAACATGTAAACCAAACTACCGAACACTGCTTTTTAAACAGAAAATTCCGATTTCCATTTATAATTTTGAAATCAGTGTGAATTAAACATCGCTCACGACGGATCAATTTAATAAAACATAAAAAAAAAGTACGGTGAGTTGCTATCTTTCAGCATGTCTACTGATTCCACTGACCGGATGAAAAGTTCCGAAAGAGAGACTGTCAATCAAGATCCCGGTCCTGTGAAAGGTCCGAACAGAACAGAGGAACTGCAGAAAACCTGGGAGGAAAAGAGGCCAAATTTTTACTGCAGGATAGTGGTCAACCACCCAATGAAGTGTTTCGGTAAATCTGGGATTGAAGTGCTTTGTCTATGGTATTATTCGATTACCTAGCTATGTCAGAGATTTTTTTATTAATTTCATCTGCCATCTATGAAGCTTAGCATGTCTGTCCGTTGTTAATTCACATTTTTAATTTCTTATTTAGAAACAGTGGGCTAAGAACAAGGTATGGTTTTGAACAATACAAATCTTGCCCTGTGTTTTTCTTAAAAATAAAAGTGATGTAAAAGATTAAAACTCATGCTTTTTGAATTATTGAAAATCCATGCAGAAAGATCAAACAAATCTTTTTTCTCACATGACCTTCCAAATGCTAATTGTGACGTCATAATCTTGTGCATTTTCCCGTATTTTCTTAAAAATTTGCAGAAGACACCAATTTTCAATGGAATTTTCTTTCAGATAATATTGTCCACAGGTATCGCCCATAAAGATTTTGAGATATGTGATTTTTCAAAGAATTTTAGACAACATATCTAAAAATTAACGTGAGCGACGGCTGTGGACACTATTTTCTTAAGGAAAATAACCCTTGAAATGGGTCATTTTGAGGCTTTTTCTGTTTAAAATAGAGAAATGCATCAAATTAATGACGTCATATATCCAGAATGGTACTCCATCATGCTATATTCTTTCCTGATTCATTACAGTCATATACTCAACTAATATCTAAGCCAGTTTCAAAACTTTTTGAAAACATTAAATTTTTAGGGCACAATAAAGCTAAAACCATACCTTCTTCTTTGAACTTTCTTTAAAGCGTCCTGAAATTAATGGTAACCTAACAACAAAGCTTTATGATAAACGTGATGACTTCAACTTTTCAATCGCCAACTTCCCTTACTTATTTAGTGCTATACCCTTATCACCAGCATATGGGGTTGATTCGATACGCAAGAGCATGCTCTATGTACGAACAATTTCTAAAATCAAAGTACTCAAAAGTATAGAGAGCCGGGCTCATTTATAGAGCAGTGACCAGTACCGTACATGAAATAAATGTTATATAAGAAGTTCAGAAAATATTATTACATGCATTTAAAAAGTTTTTAAGACACAGGGAAAGCAGGTTTTAATCACCTCCGTATAAGACTGTGTAACCCCAGTTTCAGGATATCGCATTACATTACGCACATTCCATTTCATTGGAACAACATTCTCCAGATTATTTCGTACCATATTTTTAACATACAATTCGCAATACTATCAATTCATTTATTGTCATCTTTGATTATTTTTTCTTTTATTTTCTTTTTTTAAATTTTAATTTAATATGCTAAACATCGCAACATTTACCTAACAGGATCGGTTGCTTGACATACTGACAAGTGCGCATTACTATATGCACACTAGCGAGGCAGTTCAAGTTTTCCATCATTCTGTAAATAGAGGTTGTCACTATCTGATTGTGTGTCGCACGTGGCTTTTGTGTATAGGTTACGTTCACTCTCACAAAGGTATTAGCTTTCCTTAAAAGCTTGTCTGACGTGAGAAAAACTAAATTTTTGATATTGAAAATTTAAGAAAGTTTAACCCAGCATCATCAACATGAAATTTTCTGAGAATGGGAACTGATTTAATCTGAAACGCATAATGTTTATATTGGCGGTTGTTGTGTTACCATCCGGTGATTTTTCCGCGCAGATCGGCTATCCCGTAAGCCGGGCCATAGCTTACGCTATGTAACCCGGCTAACGAGATAAGTTATTGACAAACAAATTGATGAAACAAGAATATCAATAGTCTCATTTAAAGTCAGTATTTTGCAAGTTCTATGGTCAATACAATGACCTTGTCAGCAAATGCAATCTATCATTAAGTCAAATGCTGATGGATGTTTTTTCATACTAATTGTTAGACCATTATTTACACACTAATGTTTACGGATATTTCCGTATTTCCCAATCATGACAAGTAGTACACGGCGGGTGTGACCGGTCGGCAGGGGATGCTCACTCCTCCAAGGCACGTGATCTCACTTCTGATGCTTTAGAATTTTAGAATCCGTGTTTGCTCTGCTCCTGATTTGCAATGTTTGAATGGACTTTTGAGCTTGAATACTGTTCGTTATCTTCGTGCATATTTCGGTTATAGGAGATTAAATCTATTTAAATGAAGAATCGTGATTCTTTCCAAGTTAGATGATTAGTCGACGACAAAAATGGGGGTATGATTACTCAAAAATTACCTTCTGAAGGTTCACCGGGCTACAACAGACAACATTCATGCAAAAGCTAAGCTTTATTGTGAAAAAATGTTCAAATCATCAGAAAGGTCTCAAGTTTACTCTTTTAAAGATGTATTATTGGAGTCCTCGTCTCAATCAGTACATTAATAGATTGTAATTGCGAATACAAGGAGTTAAATTAAGTACATGTTTTGTTGAATTTTATTTTCACGTGACACTTTGTGTTTTGAGATCAGATGAGCGTTGTGGTCAGTGAATATACTGTGCTTTAAAATTAATATTTGTTTATACATTTATTTAGTAACACACTTATAAAGGAAATCACTATTATACCCACTGTTCATTTTTTACCCATTTATATAAAAAAAAAATGTACATGTAAATCTCATATTTTCCAATTTCAGCTATAACCCTTATCTGCCACGTTGCTATGGTGATTTTATCAGGAATCCTTTTGGGAGCAGGATTTGACCTCTTTCCTACGAACTTTAAGCAAATTCCAATGGAGTTGTACGAGGTTCCCTACAAACTGAGAGAGGACGCTTGGTTCGATAGAAACGACTACAACAACAGGTTCACACGCACTCTACCTAACCGTGGTTATAGCACTTACGAAAGGGATCAACTCTCTGAATACTCATCAGTATTGATGTATTACGATACAGGTACGGGAAATATCTTCACCAAAGCCAATCTGCAAAAAATGAAAAATATAGAACAAGAATTAGCTAGTACGCAGTCTTTTCCTTCAATCTGTATGGCAATCAACTCGTCTTTGTCCTGTCAACCTTTCAGGTCTGTTCTAAGATATTTTGATGGAACATTCATGCTAATCAGTGCTACCCTTTATGATCCTGAGTTTAACAACATACCTGCCGTGCTATATGAAGCATATACAAACAATAACACAAAGGAAGATTTCAAGTATTTCCTGCCCATAGGATACAGCTTGTCTTCTACGCATGCGCATGGATCTCTCACGCGCTCAATTTTGCCGGTTGGATGTTCTCTGAATGGCACTACAGAGTGTTCGAAAACTTCTTGGGTATCGGAAGTGTTATATCATCTACAAAATGGTATTCAGGAGAAGCTTGAAAATGACGTAACAGCATCCACAGATGACTTCAACTTTTATTTCTTTTCTTATAATTTATGGTTTTCCGACCTTATCCGACAAGCTATTTTAGATATGTTATGTGCTTTTGGTAGTATGTTTGTTATATTTTGTTTCATGCTGTTTCACACTGAATCTTTTTGGATCGCTGGTTTTGCAATTATCAGCATTCTTGCGAGCTTTCTAGGAACAAACATTATATACACAGGCATATTATCATTTAAGTATTTTGGTTTCTTTCATATTGCATCAATTTTCATTATTTTGGGTATAGGTGCGGATGACCTTTTTGTGTTTTATGATAACTGGAGACTTACGGCTTTTTCTAAATATCCAAGTCTCGCACATCGTCTGTCAGATGCTTACTCAAAATCCGTCACAAGTATGTTTATAACGTCACTCACGACGTCATTGGCATTCTTCTCGTGTGCGATTTCTCCACTTCTGGCCACCCGATCGTTTGGTATTTTCACTGGACTTCTTGTCATTTACAATTATTTATCAGTTATCTTATTCTTTCCTACCGTAATAATCGTTTATCATTTAAAATACGAAAAGTGGACCTGTCCATGTTGTCGGAAATGCAAGAAAGATGAACATCCCTCGGAAGAGACAAAAACTGAAAGATCTAATCAAGTGTTTAGTATTACTAATGTGGAAGATATTGATGTAAGCAACACTAGTGGAAGAAATGACAACGTTAGCGTCAGGGAAAATTCCAAATCGCACACTAAGAGGCATTCCCTCTTCAGTAAAAGGGATTCCCTCTTATACACCAAGGCAAATGCAGTGGTTCCGCTAGGACTAGTCATGGGAGCGCTAAAGACATTTAACAGCAGAGAGAAACAGAGGAGAATGACAGTCTTCTTCAAGTATTACTATCTTCGATTCATCACCCACAGAATCACACGGTGTGTGGCTATTCCTATCTTTGCTATCCTGGTGGCGTACTTAGCTTACTCCGCGTCTAATCTCGAGCCAGACAACGAACAGGTACCATTATTTTATGTCTTTGCTAAAGGTTAGCTAAGGTGAGATACCAACTTGGCACTCAGAAAAGAATGTCCCAATCGTTTGCAAAGTCGAGTAGCCCGAGCATAAAATATTTAGAAATCATGTCAGCTTTTAGTTTATACAATATATGCTATACATTCAAGGGTGGTCCTCTGTTTTTCATTATTTGCACTACATGTCATATCTATATAACTAAAATCCCACACGATTTCTTGATAATAATGAATAATAATTATCATGTCTGAAATCCCACAATCCTTTTTAACCAAATATGCATCAGAATTCATTCTTCCAAATGCATATTTGTGTGATCTGTATGTGAAACATACACCGTATGCTAGATATTAAATGCTTCCTTTCAAAAATATTTATTAAATCCCAGTAAAAGGTTTTGAAATATCTTACAGAAAATCAAAATAGAATGTGAGTGTCAACATTTTTGGCAAATGTTCATTGATATAATTTGATATACATGAATATTGTTGATATGTTGCGAGATTTTTCTTATTTCATTTTGGTGTTTACATGTGATGAATATTTCAATTCATAATAAATAAATTTATTAGTTTTGGGAACCGTTGTTCAGGCACTGGTTTACTTTGACTTGATTCCAACTTTCTTATTGTGAATCTCTTAAAATTCTGATCTTTCACAGATTTTGATCTACAAGAAATCCCACTATTACACACAAGCTATAACTAAGGAATGGTATTCATTTGAGGAAAGCGCGGATACCAATTTAGTGACGGTAGTCGTCGTTTGGGGACTCTCCCTTAAAGACCGGAGTAGTTGTCATTTCTCCGCCGTTGAGTGTAGAGGCACCGAAGTGTACGATTCGACCTTTGATCCAAACCCTCCAGCCAATCAACAGGCTTTAAAAGTATGTGATAAATATTCCTGTGATTTTAATTGTCGGAAATAGGTCACACAAATGTTTTTTTTTCTGTTCACAGTGTTATTATATTTTTTCAATATCTAAATTTATTACATTGTTATTCTGTTGTTCCAGGAATTCTGTGACTCCTTCTATAACATGTCATCCTCGGACATCAGTCTGTACAGAATTAAAACTGACGACTCTGGGAACCCTGATATCAGCTGCTTCACAAGAGAATTTGACACATATTTCAAGGTGAAGAAAACGTTTGAATCCTTATAAAGATTTCAATGACCCTCCTTTTATTACTTGGTAAAGATGTCAAAAGTTAGAAAAACATTAATCCCTCATTTTTAGTGTGTAAATCACACAGACCTGTTACGCTAGCGCTTTCGCGATAAATATGTCTACATGCAAGTCTGTGTGAGTTCCTACATTCCTTATATTCTATCCAAAATACATCCAAGATTTGTAAATTTTGCAGCTATATTGTTTTACTTTTTATTCTGTCTTTATTTATTGTTTTAATCGATCAAATGATTTTTGCTTCAGTCTCTTTCTATAGGCGGATTAGACCTGTCTCTTCCCTGGGATTCTAATAAGACGTTATCATTTATGAACAACCTCTCAACATACTACAATACCACTGGTTATTCCACATATACTGACTTCTTATCGGTAAGGATTTGTATATATGGCAAAGGACATGAATGATTTTTATACTCTCCCATTAAAACTTGGATTGAATGAAAAATTAACTCTCTGCTTCACTTTGATAGTATTCTGCTTGGTGCGTTTTCAGGTTATAAAAGCTTGAAGTATCGTTCAGATAGTTTTTTTTTTTTAAATTTCTTGTGCGATGTCGTATAATCAAGATCATAATTTGCACATGTTGTATGACCTTCATCCATGGTGATATCTCAAAATTTCAAATATATTAATTTTCTCCAAATCTCTATAAAACTTTGATCTAGATCATACTTTACGCAAGAGCTACTTTGTTTAAATGAAAAAAATAATTTGTATATATACAATAGGTACATTGTATTTTCATATACATAATACATTCAAAATTCAAATTTCATTGGTTAGAAATCCTTATCAAATTAACCGATCAGCGAAAGTATCAAATACTAGTACACTAATCACTGCAGATCTAATAATCGCAGCAAATCTATTGATCAATTTACGCGAGAGATCAGCTGATCAGTGAACATAGCAAATCTATTGGGCAGCTGATCGGTGAACATTGCAAATCCAGTGAATATTTACCGCAAAAGTTCAGATGATCAGTGAACATGGTAAAATTTAGTGAGCAGTTAATTTGGAAAATGTACTAAGTAATCAATGAACGGGGTAAAATCTACATGTATGAACAGTGACGTCAAAAACTTGTGAAAGTGGCAAAATATGTAAAAATGTACTGGTCACTGAATGCGGTGATTTTTGTTTTCAGATTCCTATGCAGTACTGGATGTATGCGGGCTATTCTGGGAACTACACGGCAGACTATGGTGTGTACAATGATCTGTTTGGAGAAGAAAAGACAACATTCAGCAGACAACTTAAAACAGATAGCTGTAAGTCTACATGGGGAAATTTTCATTTGCCTCCATTCTTTGTGTAGCCTCCATGAAGAAAATTGTTTCACGTTTAAACACCACATGCTGTGAAAGTCTCAGCGCTTAATTAAAATGCATATTTTTTTCAATATTCTTACTTTTTATACAGTGTAACAAAGGAACATGTAATAATATATTGATCAACTGAATTGAGCAACATGATGTTCTTTATTAAATCAACAAAATTGAACCTTGATTCACTTTCCATGTTCATAAAATTTGTTTTCTCTAGCGATATATTACGGAAATAAAATAAAGTATATCGGCGTCAGCGTGAAGACGACTGTGAACAGAAGAACGACGGGGTATTCTACAGGTATACCTATAGTGGAGCGATGGGAGAGCCTCATTCAATCCAAGGTCTGTAGCAGTAAACTATCGAGGTGATCCGTGAGAGGTGGGGGGGGGGGGCTTATTCTACAGGTATACCGATAGTGGAGCGATGGGAGAGCCTCATTAAATCCAAGGTCTGTAGTAGTAAAACATCGAGGTGATCCGTAAGAGGGGGGGGGGGGGGTACTCTACAGGTATACCTATAGTGGAGAGATGGGAGAGCCTCATTAAATCCAAGGTATGTAGCAGTAAAACATCGAGGTGATCCGTGGCGCGGGGGGTGCAGCGGAGAGTGAGGCCTTGTTCTGTTAGTGTAGCACATTTAATAAGAATTTCGTATAGTGCCATAGTGACGTCTCATCACCTCTCAGTTATGATGTTACAGCTTACGACATCGCCTTACGAATAGAAAGGAGCGAAAGGAAAATTCAGTTTGTTGTAGTTGGATATGGAATTTATTAAACAGTGGGACAGGATTTTTTTTCACGAGTGCGAAGCAACTACAAAATATTGAATATCCTCTACATACACAATAATTTGGTTAGACATTCAATAGTCCGAAATATCTGCCTTTTTTCCAGGCGTTTTCACGAATTTGAGAGACGTGCCGGGAAAACGTCAGAACCGGCAGATATTTCGGACTATACATTCACTCACCAACTGCATTAGTCTCATTTTACAAAAAGATTTTTTTTTAGAAAAACCATTTCTAGTAATAATAAATACATGTAATTTAATACAGTGAAAATACAATTCTAGAAAATAAAAATAAATTCCCATATCTAACTCCAAAGTACTGTCTCGCAATTGTGAAGTTAATCCCCATATCTAACTATAAAACATTATATTTTATATTTATATTAACATTAATTTTATTTTTGGTTCTCCCTTTTGTGCCTATATTGCCTACTTTTCGTAACGCATCGGTATAGGCTGTGATGTCACAGATAAACGGCTGTGGTATACGCACATCATATTCATATTGAAGTTGTAAATATTAATTTTAACAACAATTTTGAGAGACTTTATTTTGGTCAGTGCTGATTTATATGCTTTGTTCACTTATGCTATCTATAGGGTGTATTTTCTTTAACAAAACAAATAGTTTTGCTGCAAAGTTGTAAATTTCGCCCTGTGACAAGGGCACCAGTGAGACTATTGCTTTTATTCATCGGATAAATTACAGTATTTCATTGGTGAAAATTTAAAAAAAAAAAGACACTTAGATGAATTTGGCTTACCTTACCGATACATCTATGAGGCAGCATTTAGGCTTGGTTGATTCCATTTTGTATAAATGTCTACCTTTCTTGTAGATGAGTGCCATGCCTGTTGGCGTCAACAATGGATTCCAGCAAACCAGAGGAACGTGGCATTTGTTTTACGTCATCCAGGTCTGCAAACTATATGTATTTATTAAACTATTGTATTATCATTATTGTATTTTCTTATTGTTATTTAACTCCCCTTTGTTGTATTTTTTCCTGATCAGTTGTTATTTCCCCCGTTTTGTTGCAATTTTTCCTGATCAGTTGTTATCTTCAACATTTAGTTGTTATTTTCCTGATTAATTGTTATTTTAACCGAATAGTTTATTTTCTCTGATAAATTCTAGTTTTACCCCAATTAGTTGACATTTTCCTAATTTGTTATTATTTTCCTCGATTAAGATAATATTTTCCTTTATTATTAATTTTGTTTTCTTCCCTTATTATTATTTCCCCTTTTAGATGATACATGTACCTGATCAACACACAGGGCTCACGGCGGGTGTGACCGGTCATCAGGGGATGCTTACTTCTCCTAGGCACCTGATTAGTTGTTACCGTTTCTGATTAGTTGTTAGTTTCCCTGGTTGGTTATTTTGCCTGATTAGTTGTTATTTTCCTTGACTTGTTGTTATCGTACCTGTTAAATTATTATTTTGCCCGATTAGTTGTTATTTTCCCTGATTAGTTGTTATTTTCCCTGATTAGTTGTATCAAGCGACTGCAGTCCCTCTCTTAATTTTCAGGCTGTGTTCTTTTATATTTGCAGACCCTTGTACAGAACGCCTTACTTGGAATCGTGATCGGGGTGTGTATCGCCTTCCCCATTCTCTCTTTGTCCACCATGAACGTCGTGATCGGTTTCCTCGCCACCTTCTCTATCTGTTGCACCACTGTCTGCGTCATTGGGGTCATTCCACTGGCCGGCTGGAAACTAGGGGTAGGTAGTTTTTGTGGGTTGATTAAAATCCTCTATGGAATCCCTGAAAGAAGAAATACGCGATGTGACTGATCCCACCTCTGAAATTTCAGAGGTTTGTGATTTCAACAATTCAACAAATTTAGTATCGGCTTGTTTGGTTTCTGGTAGATGTGATAAACTTTTTGATAATTTGTTTTGTTAGAAAATTTGTTAAATTGTAATTTTAACTAATCATATAATGAAAACAAGACATGTTATATATGATATATAGAGATAACGAACAGTAATCAAGTTCAAAAGTGCATTCAAACAATACAAATCAAGAGCAGAGCAAACACGGACCTCTTTAACAGGTGCCATGGAGGAGTGTGCAGCACCTTCCGACCGGTCACATCCAATGTGTCCTCTTTAGTCATGATAGTGAAAACACGGAAAAATCCGTGGACAATTCAGTGTGTAAATAATGGCCTAACAATTAGTATGAAAAACGTCAGTCAGCATTTGACCTAATGATAGATTATATTTGCTGACAAAGTCATTGTATCGACCATGACTTTAAACGAGACTGTTGATATTCTTGCTTCATCAACCTGTTTGTCAATAGCTTGGCTCGTTTAAGAAATTGTTCAAAAGTAGAGCATGCTCTTGCGTATTGATTCAACTGAGAGGCTTAAACCCCATATCCAGCATATATACATGTTTTTATGTAAACATTCATTTGGAAACTCTTACTCTTCATTTTTCAGTTCATGACGGCGTTGAACATGTGTTTAGTAGTTGGTTTGGCTGTGGATTATGTAGTTCATTTGGCGGAGGGATACACATTGTCTGTTCACAAAGACAGATACAACCGGACACGTGACATGTTGGAAATGATGGGTTCTTCGGTGTTCTTCGGGGCCTGTACAACTCTTGGAGCATCTCTTTTTCTTTTCGCCACGGAAATTCAATTTTTCTTGCAGTTCGGAGTGTTTATGTTCTGCACAATCGGATTCTCTCTAATGTTTTCTTTAGGATTATTTACATTACTAGTTGGACTAATTGGCCCACAGAATAACACAGGAAATTTAAAAGTTTTATTTCAGAAGTGTCGATTAAGATTCCAAAGATAATGCAGGGTTCGTCTTTCTGAGTTGGATTCCGAAGAAAATTTGGATAATAAATTGTCAATGCAAGTGTGTCTGCTATTTTCGAACTGGACTGCAACCGGCTTCATGAAGTATGTATCGTGTGTCCAGCCGAGCGGTCTATATTTTATGTTGACATGAGCCCGGTTATTCCCGGGAATTTGCAGCTAGTGCAGATGATTTACAGAACAAAATAATTGCGTCTACCTGACACAAACTCAATAAATTTACTGTGATAAATCAAATTATGTATTGTCTTAATAAATATATTTACTTCGATTCGCACTTTTAATAAGAAGAATATTTGCTTTGTCCTAAAGTTTTACCCATGTCACTGGACAAATTGTCTTACATGAAATGTACTAAGGGCCTTGCGACCAAAGATCTCTTGTCAACTACTCTCTCACTATGACTCTGGAAACCTATGCAACCTTTATTTCCATATGTCAAAACTACAATGGTCAAGTTTCAAAGTTTCAAGTTTTATTTAAGACAAAAAACCATCTGGAATATATGAATACAAATGAAAACTATTAACAAAATAAATATTCAAACACGAATGCATGAATAAGTGGCACAAATGAAACTATATATAGGTATACTTCAGAAAATCAAGGTGTGGAAGTCCTCTGTTAGTAAAGAATATACATGTAGTACAAAATAGCAATATTTAGTAATATTATTTGAAAAAATAATTACGGAGAATAAAAATTTTGGAAAGGACGTACATGTATTCGGAATTTCAAAAGAATTGACCTATATAAGAGAGTACAATTTCCCGGAAAAAGTCACACGTGTGTAACTCATGTTCATTATTACTTTTTACCGTATACATACTCATACTAATTGTTAGGCCATTATATGCATACTGAATTGTCTACAGATTTTTTCCTTTTTTCCCGAACAATATGACAAGGAGCACACGGCGGGTGTGACCGGTCGGCAGGGGATGCTCATTCCTCCATGGCATCTGATCCCACCTCTGATGTTTTAGAGGTCCGTTAGTTTGCTCTGCTTCTGTTTTGTATTGTTCAGATGTTTGAATGGATTAATGAGCTTGAATACTGTTCGTTATATCCACATTTCATTTTAACCACTGAACATGTATCTCTTCTGGTGGACAGTCTGTCCCCGAGGATACTTGTAGTTCGGTACTTATTCAGGTATTCATGAATAGTACACAATATAACGAAATGATACTAGCAGACGCGTCTCCCAGTTTAAAAAGGTGTCACCCTTTTGAGTCTATAAAGGACACAGACTCAAAAAGTAAAATCGGTGTCCCTCGGATAATCCTCGGGGATATTAATCATATGCGATATGTGCAGTCTTCAGATTCCCAGTTTTGGTATAAAACATACCGGTAGTTCATCAAAAAAAAAAAAAAGAATGTAAAGATTCTATTAGAGATATATTTGAAGATTCCTTTCCAATCCCATGTCTTCTATTTCAAAATTTCTGTGAAAAAATTGTAAAAGCTGAAATGTTTTGCTTACTAACTCTTCTTTTACTAGTAATCTTAAGGACAGGGATTCTATACCAAAACTTGGATAGAAAATCTGAACTGCGAATCTTCTAATGTTGTCTACGGAATAAAATGTAATCTTCGTGGGCTTATTTATGTTGGTGAAACCAAGGATTCACTTAATAAAAAAATATTGGGGCATAGATTTCAAATAAACAATGGGGGTCTGCACTCTGCAGCTTCTTCACAAGCACTATAATTTGCCTGATTATTCTATTTTATTAAATGAAAGTTGAAATTCTAGAAAAGATTAATCAACATACTAAAAGCTCATCACTGAGTACACCTTTCTGCAGACAACAAGAAGTATATTGGATTTGGAAACGAGGCACAGTTTTCCATATGGATGCAAGGACAATGTCGATAGCGTTGGGAAAATTTCCAGTCTACAGTGTAGCAATGTGAATGCTATGAGGCTTTTTAATATTACACATAGACATAAGCGTAGTCATGGACATCAGTCCTGCAATAAACCTATTATAAACGATGTCTCCTTTGATACACTACTACCTTATGTAAATAAGTGTAAGAGTATCCTAGTGGTGTCTCAAGAATATCCTTGTGGAGTCTCAAGTGTATCTTTGTGGTGTTTTCAGGTATTTAAAGGTAAACCAGTGGTGTCGGAAGAATATCCTTGTAGTGTCTGAAGGGTACAGCGTATCCTTGTGGTGACTGAGAGTATCAATGTGGTGTCTGAATAGTATCTTTGTGGTGTCTGAGAGTATCAGTGTGGTGTCTATAAAGAGTATCCTTGTGGTGTCTGAAGAGTATCAGTGTGCTGTCTGGAGATATCCTTTAGACATCCGCCATCGAAATTTGCAATGGGGACAAAAATGTTGCTTGTGATGCGTGTGATAAATGGTTTCATGGCTTGAAGGATTGAGTAGAACAGATTTGAAGTATTTACAAAAGTATCCCTTGTCTTACATATGTGAAAAATGTTGCAAAAGCGCAGATGTTTAATTTGTTTGATTTTGAGAAATTATTGGATAGGTTTCGCACAGCATGCAAGTCTGTCGACATAGAAAATGGGATGAAAATTAGAAACAATTTTCATGCGCTCACTACAGTAACGGCCTAACTTTTATTGAAAAGACAGGGATACTCAAAAAACTTTAAGGGTGAAATGGTTAGGGACTTTGTAGCCAAACAGTTATCGAAAAATTTTGACTACATTCCGGTAGTTGTTCATGGGAATTGCCTTTGAAATTTCAGTCCGCATTCAGGGGGATGAGAATGTTGGCATCAGATATGACATCCTCACAATGTCAAGGTTTTGTGATTTCGGAAGCCCACACACAAAACCTTGACATTTTGAGGATGCAGATATGAGTCAAAACGTGTATTTTAACTGTCTTATAAAAAGGATTTCTACATCAAATTAATAATCATATGGGTGATAAGTTAACTTGTGTGTCTTTATGAGGAATCTTTTCAAGACTGTTTTCTAATTTTTCGCTTTTCTTGGCTGACAGGCTAGGCAATAGCCGACCACAGATACTTGTGGACAGGACCCCCCCCCCCCCCATTCAATCCCGATGTTTGTTGCAGATTTTTTTCACAGATTATATTTATGACATTTATTCATCATGTGTTACGATGGCCGACAGCGGCCGCCACTTTCTGATTAAGAATATTGTCATTTTGTACAGCGTTTTTGTCAATTTTCGTTGACATATTACAACTAAACTGGTAATGCTATATGTACATGTACACTTTTTACACTGACAATTTACACCAGCGAAAAACATTAAAATTCTTTCGTGTGATATGAAATTTAGGTACATAAAACAGGTGGCTTGAAAGAGATGAGGAGCATTTTAATGATTTTCACCCTCAATTTGTCTGAGATATCGTAACCCAGTTAATCCTAGATTAGACATAAATCGTCATTCTGTCACTTTGTTGTATCATTATAAAAAGATATTCTTGGGATTGTAATTAAAAAGGGGGATAAAATTAATACGTTTGTTGTAATGGATATATCTCGATCCTCAAAGTGTATGAGACAACTCGATTCTACCTATTATGCAGAGGTAGAAAAACAGGATTTAGTAGCTCTACATGTGAGCATCCAATCAAAAGTTTATGGAATGTATCAAAAACCAAACTTTAGATACGGAAATATACCCGTTTTTAAGCAAGAATAAAATGACAACCTTAAATGTGGGAGTCTGTATTTGCTCTCTAAATACATAAAAATTAATAACTAAATGCTTGAAACACTTTTAAAGGCCAACGCAACCTCTCAAGACTTCCACCTGGTCGGCCAATTATTTTTCAATGTGGCACGGGAATGAAAATATAGGTACATGTAACTAATGTGATCATTTCCTCGTGCGCATTGTTTAAAAAAACAAAATTCATACATCAAAGACACGTCCGATTATGAACAAAATCAAATTTCTGATAGACCTGGATAATTTCATACTGGTTACCTATGATGTGACCAGCAGGTACACTAACATGGAATTTTATGAATTAATTACTACAATCTGTCGAGAAAGCATATAATATTAAATATCTAGAAGACAATACTAATCTGTAATCACCCCGACCTTGCTGTTCTGCTAGAACCTTAAGCTTATCACCTTCAAGTAAACTGTTTTATGTATCTTCATTTCATATCACAAGAAAGAATTTTTATGATTTTCTCCAGTGTAAATTGTCAGTGTTAAAACTATATGGACATATAGCATTACCAGTTTAGTTGTAATTTGTCAACGAAAATTGACAAAAACGCTGTACAAAACGACAATATTCAGAATCAAAAGTGGCGGCCGCCGTCGGCCATCTTAATGTGTACCATGGGAAAAAATCGTGAAAACCCCAAAATAACCGTTCCACACAAAAATACCCCACTTTATTACATTTTCAACAGTGAAATACTGTGATTTATTTATTGAATAAAAGTGATATTCTCTCACAGTGTGAAAGAATACCAAAATGATATTCTCTCACAGTGTGAAAGGATATCAAAGTAAGTAAAAAATAATTTCTGCCCTGTCATAAGATAAATATAGTAACTAAACATCTTGATAGAGCTAAAACTGCAATTTTCTTCCCAAATATGTTGCTAAAATCCATGCTATGTAATGTTTTCAATCTCACAACTGCAAAGCTATGACGTCTCAACCGCTCAACTATGACGTCAAGCCTAGCTATGACACTGTGTTAAGAAAAGACAGAGGCAAAGGGAAAATCAAAGAAAATGTAATAAACAGAAAATTCAATGTTTTGTAGATGAATATGGAATTTATTTCACTCGTGAGACAGGATTTTTGATATTTTCAATCGTGCTTCGCACTAGTGAAAATATCAAAAAATCCTGTCCCACTCGTGAAATAAATTCCATATTCATCTACAAAACATTGAATATCCTCTATATATATACATTATAGGAGAGTGAGTATTTTTGAGTGGAACGATTATTTTGGGGGTTTCACGATTTTTTCCTATGGTGCACGTGATGAATAAGTGTAATAAATATAATTTGTGAAAAAAATGTCCAACCTCGGGAGGTTGAATTGGTGGGGGGGGGGGGGGGTCCTGTCCACAAGTATACCTGTGTTGTCGATATAACGTTAGGCGAATACTGGAAACCTCACATTTGTCTGGGTTAACTCCCCCTCTAATTATTAGTAATATGTAGGAGATGATTTTCAAATACCCCGAATCCTCGTAATATTTTCAAGAGACTCTCATATTAAGTGCATATCGGAAAAATTCGGATAATCTGTTTTACAGTATATGCCTTTCAAATACCTGTCCGAAATCTACAAAGAACGACTTACTTGTTACACGCCGCGCCGCCATTTGCACAAACAACATTTTCATGATTTTGCATTTACTTCAACTTTAATCCAATATGTACCCTAACTGGAGTAATGTACAAGGAGGATATGGACTTTATGGACAAATGGATCCAAACTACCAGCAGCAGTTGTTACAATGGCAGCAGATGAATCAAGTAGGGGGACAACAATGGGGGATGTATGGTCAGTCCGCACAGCCGCCTCTGCCAGCCGGTGGTGACACAAAGCCCCCACCACCCGAGCCCCCAGCCGACGAAAAACCTCCACTCCCTCCGGATCCACCACCTGATGGGGGAGAAACTAAGGTGTGTATCTTGCTTAATTAAAGTAGTTAAAATAAAACGAGCGTTTTATCGTCAGGAGTCTGCAGTTTCACTTCAAACACAGGCACCTGACGAATGGATGTTGTAAACCTAGTTAGAATAATCTGTGTTTTTGGGACAAGCACTCACCACAGTTAGAAAACGTCCCATATAGTTGCAATATAGCAAATGGGAACAGATCTGCGCCAAAATGATTTTGATAAGGAGTTGCGCTGAAAATAACTACCAAATTAACAGGTTGGGCACACCCCACCAAATGGTCATTTATTCCCCGTTTGGTGGACAATCTCCTATATCGGAGACGAATTTTACTGACCAAATGGTGGACTTTTTTATTCTATTCCAAATTTTTATTAAAATAAAGCAAAAGTGCATTTACTTAGGTATTGGGGAATTTTAGTGAACATATTCCTCGCACAATTAACATAATTCGGTCGATTTTCCATGTGCAATTTCTCCATAACTTATTATTAATAAAAATGATACCCATAGTTGTCCGTAACAGCCGAACTTCTTGATCAATCGATCAAAAAATTTTTGATTGTGTCTAGTAGGATAAAAATTCTATTTTATCCAGTGGTTTAACTCTTGATTAGTTAAGTTTCAATCGCTTTTTGGATCTTCGTCAATAATTATTTCCATAAAATCCCCTTAAACACGAGCTCCTCATTACTTTACTGGTATGGTGGGCACTTATTGCTATAAAGTTAAATTTTTCCAGACTTGAACGTAATATCTGTTGTTATTTTTCTTTTAGGATGAAGTTGCATATTCCATGCGACCTTTTGTGGTTTAATATGTATATTACTGATGAATTTAATATATTTGATAAATAATTTTCAATAAAAGATTTACAAAGTGACTTTTACAATTATGCTTGTTTGCGTTCTAAGTACATCGTTTTAAAACAATAATTATATCATAATCTAACTTCATTTACTATTTTTATAGAGAACAAAGCTATATAGTACAAAATAAAACGAAATAAAGGCAAAAACTTATTTTTCTTTTGATTTCCTAATTGAAAATTGACACAAATGTGCCTCTGTAATAAAATCTGACTTTTGACCACGTTAAAAAAAGATAATCATTTTTATTGGTTTGCATTATTTGATTGGTTGCCCGATAATCAAAATAGAAAGTAAAGAACATGATTGACAGGTGCAGCATCGTCGGAGAAGGAGGGAATTTTCTTTTCAAGTAAAAATGGAGAAACATTGCACTTGTTCACGTATGTGACATTTTTTTTCAAATTTTTGAACGACTCTGCGCAAAAAATTATACGTTGAATTTCCGATTTTTTTTCACTCAGAACACTTGTAAATATCTATATTTTATTCCACATGGTTTAAAATTATGCGCCATTCCACGCCATTCTATGGAATTGAACACAACCATTTTTCTCTCCCAAATGGTCAGTATAATTCGTCTCCGATATGGGAGATTGTCCACCAAACGGGGGATAAATGACCATTTGGTTGGGTGTGCCCAACCTGATTAATAATAACAAACCTTTTTGAGATTGTATGCCTTTTAACTTTGAAAATAATCCAACTATTGTTCTTAACATTTTTTACACACCATGTTAACATTTGGAACTCTCTGGATTGTTCCTAGTAAATGCACTGAGTAAGCATGGCATGGATTTATCTAGATATTTTATTCGATTACCCTTTTCATGTTAAAGGGGAAAAATGAGAATGACTGATCGACATAAGCACTGGTATGAATATACAAAGGGAGTCCCAAGACATGATCCCCTTGGAAATTTCAGATAAATGTAGCATTCTGAGAGCTAAATTTGGGGTCATTTCCAGAACTATTAAGAATAATTATATTTTAAATGTTACATGCTTGTATAATCAGGGAAATTTCTGTAACTAAAACAGGAGTTTTTACATTTTTTTTCAAAGGGGAAGGGTACCTTTTACCGGTAGTTAAATCAGCATTGATAAATCCTTGCATGGTAAGACAGGTTGTAACCAATTTCCCAAATGGGATATAATAGCCCGTTTGGGGTAAAACTAAAAGAGCCCAAAGGCCATCATTAAAAATCTTTGTTTCCCCTGACCCGACCCTAAAATCTCAAGTTGGGTAGGTAGATAGGTAAATTATTTTTTTCTCACAAAAGTTTTGCAAATACATTCTGAAAAATTGAATAATATCCTTATAAGTAAGAAATAACAAAAGAAACCTATTTTTAAACCGAATATCATACAAATGAAATTTAAAAGCAACATGTATGGTAAATTACTGAGTAATTCACAAATATTATTCATTTGAACTAGTGAATTATCTCATACCAGTGTAAATTTATTGAAATCAAATATTATACAAAAAGACAAGATATCATATTCAGGTGCTTACACAGGTAAATATATTAAGGGCCTTGTGTGGTGCAGTGATTGAAGAGACTGTCGTGTTTCATTTTTGAAGTCAACGTAATTTAGGAACTTATTTTGAGTCAAGGGTCCTAATGTGGGACGTGGAGACTGGTCAGTTGAATGAGACCATTAAAACGTAGGTCCAGTGTCGTTGGCACTTAAAGGATCCCTTACTGATGCTCAAGATGATCAACAGCCATAAGTGCCGAGTAAAAGTCTAAATTTGAAGCCCTCCACTAGGCAGATGTTCAAATGTTGTCAGCCTAACAATTTTTAAAGGGATTTTAAAGGAAAGAAACAACCTATTTCTTAGGGCCTAACTAAAGAAAAATACACCAGACGTCTCAGGAAGCCATACCAAATGCCAATTTTAAAGATTTCAACATAATTTGGAAAGTGTACATGTATAAACAATATTTACTTCAACCAAACCATATCTATAAATGATAAAAATACCATATATCTAATGTTTTAGTCACGAAGTTTAACCCATAGATAAAAGGAATGAAGAACATTCGAATTCGATTTTATTATCAAGCTGAAATGATTATACAAAGACATACCGGTAATTATTTACAACTTCCATGGTCCCATATAGTAAATGAACTGTTTATTAGATCAAACAGTGAAATTTATTGAAATGTAAACACAAGATGGGCCCCTCATCTGCTCATGAGGCAGGCTTTGCCATGTTTACTACATAAGTTAATTTTAGAAGACACATTTGTAAATACCATCGAAGCACTCTTAGTCATGGTATGATTCATTTAACATGTTTAATTCACGAAATGTTTCAAGAGTGTAGGATTCGAATAAGACATATTAAGATTGATACATCGCCTTTGTTTTATAACACCAGCTAACCCTCTGTGACCACATGTTGTGGGTGCCAAATCAGAGTAGAACAAAAATTCTTATAAAAAATGGATTTTGATGAAATTTTATTTTATAAAGTTAATAAATAAGAACAAAATTATTTGAATAATTTTGTTAAAAAAAAAATTTCAGTCAGCTCGATTTCAGTGGGTCGGTTGCATTAGGGGAAACAAAGGTATATTTTATTTTGGCTAAATGGGATATAATATCATTTTAATGCTTAAACATTCCAGCTAGTGTACCCCCCCCCTTCCTTCTGAGAATTTTTTTCTGAGATAACTTAGCAAATAATGATCAGAAATATACATGAATTCCTAGTCTATCATACCAATACTTCTATACTTGGTATCATTTTCTGTTTTTTTTTTTAAGTTTTAGACATAGGCTAGCGTGTTTACGGTATATAAAAATACCAAAGGTGAAAAACAAAATCTTGTAAATTTAACACACAGGGTGCATGGCTTCGAAGGACATAAAATTTTAACATTAAATTCGTTAAGTTCAGGGAGATGTTGTGTTACAAGCCCCTTATAGTCACACCCAGTCAAAATGTCTTATTTGTCCTAGATTCAGGATTATTCACCAGACTTCCTTTCACTGGCAGCCAATCAGGTGGTCATCATGTACTACTTTGTTTAGTGTAATGTAAAATCCAGCAGGGATTTACAGTACAGGCCACGAGTTTTCCCCGTTGCACGGTGGAAAACACACCGTGTGAAATGCTCTGTGTTACACCGTGTACACGGTGTAGCACGGTGTGTGTGGATTTGAAATACACAGGTAGGCACACCGTGCCGCACCGTGTCTAGAAAAATCCCTGCTAATGTACCCCGTGTCGCACCGTGCCCAAAAAATTCCCTCCGTGCCGCACCGTGTCCATAACATTACAGAGAAAAATAATTTTGTTCTGATAAAATATTTTAAGATTTTAAAACAATTAGCACATTGATTTATATGTAGTGTATAATTATCGTTTTCTAATCTAGAAGACATTACGTGTTCTGAATTGTACTAATGATACATGTAACAGGATTAAATATCAGTAACAGAAAAATTAAATGGAGTTCAATTTACCGTTCGCCCAGAAGTTCATATTTTGTAAAGTTGTTTAGTTACTTTTTAAAATTATTACTTGGATTGAAATTTTTAATGTCTGAAGAATTTAATCCCACGTAATCACGTAACGAAGAAATGGCATGATCAGTGTTACATGTGTTATACGATCTGAGCTGCATGTATTTGTTTTAGTGTACAAACCAAGCATTTATATTCTTGTGTAGTGCACATTTATTTTGTAAATCTTATATTATTCTGAATTTATAAGCGAGAATCGAGAGCAAAATTCCTGTGTACAATAATGTGCGTATTTTTCGTAACAGAATAAATTCTTTACATAAACTAGTAAGTATAAATTCTGTTTTAGAAATCCTTTCAGTGTAAGAATTTAATATGTTTTTTCCTTAATTATGTAAAGAAACAATGTCAGAGAGATAAAGGAGAGAGAGAGAGAGATGCTCTTAACCCCCTTTCATTTCACATAAGTCTGAAGAAAAAAAAATCATTTAATTCTTCGTTTAATAATGCCGACGCGTATTTCTACCGACGTTTTTTTTTTTCTTTTTATAAACTAGTATTTATGTTTTAAAACCCTTTCAGTGTAAGTATTTTATAAGTTTTTCTTTAATTGAAAAGTGTGTAAAAAAAAAAAAAATCAGAGAGAGA